AGTAATGTAGATGGGGCTAGAAAAAGCGAAGCTTATCGAGTCTAGCCCCGGTAGCAATGAAGGGGAAGTCCACCCTGAGAATGTGTGTGGCCAAGTAAAGGCGGAGTAAACCCATCCTCAGGGTGGACTCTCCCTTCAAATGTCTGGTATTATAATTAGATTAAACTGACCCGATGAAAACATAATTGCGATTTGAAACATAATAATAATTATTTTTTAGATTGATATGACTATTTAGAATTGCAGTAGGTATTTTTTATATTTCAACTTAAATTGTCGTAATGATGCAGATTGTTTGAGACTGTCATCTAAAGCAGACCAATTTAATGGACTAATAAAATAATAGTGTAAGTTATTTATATAGGCCTATATATATGCTGCTATTTTGAGCAATTTCGAATCAATATCTAAAATATCTAAATTACCAACAGGACCAAAATTGGATAATAGTTTACGAACATAATTTTCCTGGATAGTTCCCATTTTAAATACATAAACGTATTCAGGATTTTTCTATTTAGGAGATTTAGGATCAAATGTGTCTGAAATTTTACATCCAGCATTTGCAAACAAATTATTTAATATCTCCGGAGATAATTCATTATCCACTGAGCTATCATTTGTCATATTTCCAGTAGCCATATTTACTTTTTTTCCATAGTTGTTTCAATTCATTTTTATACTTTGTTTCAACCTCAGAACCTTCTTTTTTTAAACCTAACCTTTACCCAACTTTATCTCCAACCCTGCATAAATATTTGATGAAATAAAACAGAGAGTAATTGCCAACAGAGCTGAGCAGTTGTTGCGTCACCTTACACCCTAAATAAAAAGCGCGAATAGAACAATGCCATTAGTATAATTATGCAGCACATAAAAGCAACGTAATAAGATAAATAAGGTATTCAAATTTGATTTCTCTAAAGGCCTTGCAATCGTCTTTTAGAAACATGTTCCTGTTTTAACGCGCCATTTCAGCATAATTATTGTTGTGCTCTATATTCAGTCAAACCCTAATGCCCTGTTTAAACATATATATATATATATATATATTTGTTTTTATTTTATATTTTTTATTTCACGTACTATCGTGTGTGAACGAGGCTTAGTAGAGTCCAAGGTGAAAGCAAGCGTCAGTTATTATAAGCGACCATGTAGATATGAATTAATCTGATGGCATTCCGTGTTAACTTGTCAGGCCCATATTTGCTGATAAGCCGAAGGGGTAAACGAGTTTGTGGGTGCATGTGACATGACCTCAAAAGAGAAAAACAGATATAGGGCCTATTGTATTAGTCAAGCTATAACGACGCATCTATATGAGCAGTGGTGTAGCAGGGATCCAGATATAATTGAGGGCCGGCCGGGGTTTCAGCATCATGGGGGTGGGGGGGGGGGGGGGCACACCAGATTTACTCGGACGAAATTCGAACTCCAGATAGAGAGAGATAGATAGATAGAGAAAACGAGAGAGAGAGAGAGAGAGAGAGAGAGAGAGAGAGAGAGGGAGACAGAGAGAGAGAGAGAGAGAGAGCGAGAGAGAGAGAGAGAGAGAGAGAGAGAGAGAGAGAGAGATTTGGTTTGGCTTGGTATGGTTTTATAAAATAATTAAAAAGAATACGGCTTGATTGCTCTATTTAGAGAGAGAGAGAGAGAAGGAGGGAGGGAGGGAGAGACAGACAGACAGATAGACAGAGCGAGAGAGAGAGAGAGAGACAGACAAAAAGACAGGTAGACAGACAGAGACAGAGAGAGAGAGACACAGAGAGAGACACAGAGAGACAGAGAGAGAGAGAGAGAGACAGACAGAGACAGACAGACGGACAGAGAGGAAATTCGTGTAGAGTTTTTTAATACGCTAATAAGAAAATGGTAATGATCTCTATAGGTATTTATGATCGTACATGTAATTGCACACAACGATTTTATAACGTGTAACATTATGCTATTGTATACAGAAGCTGTAATTGGTTTCGAAAAAATGCCACTGCAAAGGGAAAGTCTGCCCTAGCATCAAGCTGGTAACGAACAGAAAATTTAGATTAACAGAACAGGGGAAAAGTTTGAAGAAAATCCGATATGAGATAAGATAGTTAATAGAAGTTTTACAAGATGTGATCAGGACACAAATTGGTAACTCGACAGTAACTACAGAAGCTGTTATTGGTTTCGAACAAACGACACTGCATAGGAAAAGTCTGCCATGGCATCAAGTTGGTAACGAACAGAAAATTTAGATTAGCAGAACAGGGGAAAAGTTTGAAGAAAATCCGATATGAGATAAGATAGTTAATAGAAGTTTTACAAGATGTGATCAGGACACAAATTGCCTTTACCTTTGCAAGCAGCTCACGATGTGTGTTGTGCTATGAACATCATAGGATACTCTCTTGAACTCTCAATAATCTCTTTCTTTCAAATTCTGATTTTACTAAAACCAGCGAGAATATAATCAGCAGACTTGACTTCATACATTTATTCAAATAACAAGAGCCCTTTTTTGTATATAATAGTAATAGTCCATATAGTCAATAATTATTAGAGACGATTCCTTTTTATACATGTATTGTTGCGTATTCATGGAATAAATGTGTATGTATGACTAGTTATGGAGACCCAAGCATATGCATCGTGCCTTTAGGTAATATCGACTCCTTCCTCCCTCCATAATGTATATTGAAATGTAAACATTAATTTATGCCATGATTATCCGATACAAGAAGGAATATCATGAAAGTTCATCTATATTTAATCACATATCGGAAATCGGAGGTAAGGGCACTTTGTAATAGGATCAAAAGTTGAAATATCACACATATTATACGGAAACAAATATGTCTGAAATTGATTTCTGAATGTAAACTTGATAGTCAGGTTATACTTCTCCTTTAACGACTCTCTCCATCTGTTCAAGTAGTATATACAGGGGCGGTAAGAGCTTAGGACCAATGTCATAAAACTGAATATGAACTTGATAGTCAGGGTAGACTTTCCGTACAAATTTTGTTTACCCCTTCATGGGTTTAATTATACACAAAGGTGGTAATCACGTTGTATAAAATGTCTTTAATCTAAAATGTGAATTTGATATCAGGGTAGACTTATATCCTTTCAATAATACTCTCCAAGGGTTCAAATACACCGAGATGGATATTGCATTGGACAAATGTCTTTAATCTGAATTTGAACTTGATAGTCAGGGTAGACTTTCCCTTTAAATAAGTAATCCCTTCATTGGTTCAATTATACTGAGGCTGTCATTACTTCGTACAAATGTCTTTAATTTAAATGTGAACTTGATAGTCAGGGTAAACTTTCCCTTTAAATACTTCATCCCTTCATTGGTTCAAGTATACTGAGGCTGTAATTGCTTCAGACAAATGTCTTTAATCTGAATGTCACGGTGAACTTGAATAGTCAGGGTAGACTTTCCCTTTAAATAATTAATCCCTTCATTGGTTCAAGTATACTAATGCTATAATTGCTTCAGACAAATGTCTTTAATCTGAATGTCACGGTGAGCTTGATAGTCAGGGTAGACTTTCCCTTTAAATAATTAATCCCTTCATTGGTTCAAGTATACTAAGGCTATAATTGCTTCGTACACATGTCTTTAATCTGAATGTGAACTTGATAGTCAGGGTGGACTTCTCCTCTAACAGTTTAATGAATCCCTTTATGGGTTCAAGTATACGCAGGCTTTAATTGCCTCGGACAAATGTCACAAAGATGACAGACGATCATGTCTCGTCCTAACACATCGGTGTAGGCGGGTTAAACAGAGGGCGCACTGATGAGATACATGTCAGGTATTTATGTTATGTCGGCGCGGGAAGATGGGAAAGTGGCATATCCAGTCTTGGAGCGTAATGAATGAGGAGGGAGAAATATCTTCGATCTTTGGAGGGCAAAATATCACACGATCTAAATAAAGCAAAAATGCATTCTTGTAAAATGGACAATGATCACGATGAACATGTTAAAATTACATTCAACATAGATTTTAGCCCTTAGAGATTTCGGTGGTAAGCCCTTTATAAGCACCGTTTTTTTTTTATTATTGTTTTATTATTATAGATATGTTATTATGACTATGGTGTTTGATTTGGATATGTCAAAGGATGGTTGAAATCTTGAATGACTATCACCAGTGTAGGGCCTCTTCATTGTAAAAGTATGTCATTCGTCATATAGCTTTGACTCGTTCAAAAAGTATTTGTCTATGAACACAAACATGTTTTCATTTAAAAAAATTTGATGGTCCACACTAATGAACATTATAATGTCAAAGGGATGGTTCAAGATCGAAATTGATTGACATGTCATAATAATTATCATTACCTTATATATCAAGATAGGACATGCATGAAATAAATTAGCTTTGATCTGTAATGTATCACCCCCCTCCCTCTCTCTCTCTCTCTCTCTCTTTCTCTCTCTCTCTTTCTCTCTCTATCTATCTCTCTCTCCCTATCTATTTTATCGACCCCTCTCGCCCTCTCTCCTCCCCTCTTTTTCTTAACGGAGGCTTTTTTGCTAGTATTCAGTATAAGCAGAAATGCAAACTTAAAACTTACATATTTAAATAAAACAGTAATTTATTGATCTCCAGCAAACTTTAAAAACGCACATTGCCCTCATTAATATAAAGAGTGGCTGTTTCAATTAATCAAACATAATTATACACTTAATTTTGTATTAAAACAATTAGTGGTAGACGTAAACTAGGGGATAATAATACTATTCACAAGTTAGTCATCTTTTGATGAATCTTGATCAATCTAAGAACGAAAAGAGCAATAAATACTTTCGAACAATGATTAAAACGATCTGAGCATCTTCCTCCGTGCTGCGAACATCTTTCTCAAGACGACATGGGGTTGTAACCCCTCCGCCTCCTGAGCCCGAACTAATGAGATGAGTTGGCCTACATCTATTTTTATCCTCCAACAACTATCACTTGCTTTGCTCCTCTCATTTTTGCTTTAGACGGCCGAGCAGGGAGTAATACGAGTCGGGTGTGCATAGGCTAATAGTCATCATGAATACGTAGTTCATCAATTCACGTGTATATACTGAAGTAAATCTTGGGACCCTTACTCTCTCTTAAGCTTTTCTTCTAGGGTTAAACGCCAGGAATAGTGATCGTCATGGCTTCGTTAAACACTTTGCTAGATTCTGTTGTTTCCGAGGAGGTTGAATGCGCCATATGCCTCAATAAATTGGATACACCACGTATATTGGCATGTCTGCATAGCTTCTGTGAGAAATGCTTGGAGAAGTGCGTCCGGAACCGCAAAGACGACTCGTCCCAGTCAGGCAACAGCACCTTGAAGTGCGCCCTTTGCAAGGAATATACTGCCCTACCTGATACTGGTGTCCGTGGATTGAGACTCGACTTCAGAGCTACCCGTTTGGTGGAAACTCTACTGGAACAGGAGACCCGGGAACGCAAACTTGCCAGTTCAGCCCATCGCTGCGAGGCTTGTGGATGTACTGATTCTGGAGAAACTGCATCGACAGAAAAATCGCCTTTCACCTACTGCCGAGAATGCTGCCAGGTCCTCTGCGAGCGCTGCTCTTCGGCTCATGCCGGTTTACGAATGACCCAAACGCACACCGTCGCTAACATATCCGACTTGCTCAACGGGAAAGTAACCATCCAGAGCAAAGACCACTCAATGCTATGTCCAAAACACGCCGACGAGAAACTGAAGATTTTCTGCGTGACTTGTCTTGAACCTGTTTGTCACGACTGTACCCTGATTGATCATAACCGAGAGCAGGGCCATCAGCTTCAATTCTTGAAGGACTTTGTCCCTACCATTCGTGAAGAGCTAATCTCACGTCAAGAAGAGGTTTCAGAGAAATCTGAAGAGTTCTCAGAGTTTCTTAACTTGGTTGACGAACTCGAAACCCATATCATGGACAAAACTAAGACAACAAGCAAGAGCATACAGAATGCTATTGTCGAATACAGCAGCAGGGTAGAAGAGGTGCATTTTCAAATGGAGAAAGTGGCATGTGATTATCTTGGTGAAAAATCAAAGCAATTGAATCAACTGAGGAAGAAAACGCAGCATATCAAATCACTGGCGGAGAAGAGCTTGTTGTTGACAAACCAGATCATGGAGAATGAGCAGGATCTCGTCGGCTTGGCCTCTATGTACAAAAGTCTTAGAGAGGCCATGGACAGAGCCATTGCTGAAAAACCTGATGAACAGAAACTGAAAAATATAAGGAAATCAATCGATCGCTTGCACTATCACGTGACACCACTCGAAGCGAAAGTTGGAAAAGTTGCGGTAGGATGTAGCTGCAGAGAGCGCAGTACTTCGAGCGTTGCTTGCAAGAATGGTCCTAAAGATGTGCAGTTTACACGCGACGGAAGAATATCAGCCATTGTCCAAGCTGAATGCATCGGAGGAAGACCAGAGACAGTTCATGTAAAGACCGGGACTGAAACACTCTACAAACTTGAGACAAGAGACAGCGGGAAGAGGTACGAAGGCTACTATAGTAGCACTAGAAACGCGTATGCGGCCACTGTCCGCGGTGTTTATGAAGCCAAGGAGGTGAAAAGTCCTGCAGTGTTTGCTGCTATCAAGCAGACCTCTACGAGCTTCCCGAACTGTACCTCTTTCAGTTGGACCCGTTGGCTTCCAACCTTGCAGTATGACAGTATCAGGTGCTTTACCTCTCTATCAGATCATCGCTTCGTCATCGCAACCACTGATGCTAAGCTGTACATCCTTGGGGACGCTCTAGGAGAGTTGTCTCACGGTTTACCCGGTAAACGAAGTATCTCCGGTTTGGCAACAGACAACGAGGACAACATCTACATCACTGATCGTGACAACCGCAAGATATACATCCTACGATCCGATGGCAACCTGAAGAATACACTGACCTTTGATGATATCTCCCCGACTTGCGTCGCTGTTCCTCACATGGGACCAGAGATCATCGCGGTCACGCATGAACCAGCCACGGTATCTATACTAGATCATCACGGGAATGTCCTATGCTCCATCCACAACGAGGAATGGAAGAAGGTGGTCATCGGATTTGATGCTGATCGGTTGCTCTACATCCTCTGGTCCGACCGTAACAACAAGAAGACGCTTCAGAGGTATACCTTCCAGGGGATGCAGGTGGATACTCTGTTTGAGAAGGAATCGCACAGCTACAACGATCTTGTTTTAGCAGTGTCACCAGTAGGAGCTTGCGCGGCTGCAGTGGTGACCACGACCGGTGTTGACGGGAAAGTGGTGACTGTGGCGCCAAGAGAAAAGCCATTGCCTGAAACGCTTCCATAGGGGTATTTATAAAGGTGGACTTTAAAGTACAATTGATTTTTGAAGCGCCAAGTGTCAAACTCTTTATTCTTTACAAAATTAATGTAATACAACTAAATAAAAGTAAGAAATTGATTTATCATTTTGGAATGAAGAAGTTGACACGTGGTGCTCCATAAAAATCAGTGGACTAAAATCTACCGACGGTAAACCTAGACTTAACTCGGTACGCTTTTATAAATATCGACCATGGGAGTGTTTATGTTGAAGTTCACAGTCTGAAAGAGACAATGGCAATAATTTTATTTATAAGGCATTTTTAATATCTTAATAATGCTAGGCGCCAATTTTTTTTAAAAATTAACACTGCTTTCAGCCAAGTTGCCATGATAAGACACTCATTCATTAATTTGTTAAGCATTCAAGGAATTGTTTGATACCATCGTTCCCACTTTACCACTTCACCTGGTAATGGTCGGTCAGTGCAGATTCATGTCTTGCCGAATGAAGGTATTAATGTGCTTTATAATGTGGACTTTAACTCGGCCAAGTTGATACATAAAATGTGGTGACATGATGCCACGTACCCTATTTTTTGTAAGATGCTTTCAATTCTGCAAACCTGTATATTTTATAATTGTTTAAACGTCACATCGAAATGCAAACAAAAAAGAGGAAATTATATTGAAGCGTTCACTTATAAGATCATGCATCGACCTCCTGTAGATCCGAAGCGTGTTAGTTATGTTTTTGAGTGTTCACTTCTTCAGTTAGTGTTGCCCTAAGCACTTCTGATTACAAGTCGATATTCAAATACCTATGCTCAACATGAAATAGAAAATGTTACGAAATGCTCGAAATGATAAAACTCGTTGTCGCCAATAAATTAGAAGTATAAATAAAGTTTATTTGTATGGATTGGCTCAGAATTCTGAAAATATTTGTTTGGCTTTATGGGCATAGTTTCTCATATATAGGAATTTATTAGCACATTGTACTAATAAAAAGTCCTATTAAAAGGCATATCAAAGCTTGAATGGCTGTTTGCCTAAAAACGATAAAATACATGTTTGCCTTTGATATACGCTATAGTATAGTACGCCATTTAATGCTGTTGACGTCGCCACATCATTAAATAGAGTAGAGGTTATGACCAGTAAAAAAAGGACTGTGACCATTTCAAGCCTAGATATTAAAAAAAAAATGATGTCAAAATAGTTTGTGGTATTAAAGAGGACTTATGTTTGCGCTCAGATGAATATGAAGACTTGTTTCCTTTCTGTAGTATAAAGAATTTATGTCGGGTTTTTTTTCTCACCCCCGCCTTCAGCAAAGTAGAAGATATTGGCGTTCCAGACATGCTATAAGACATGAACTATTAGCATCTTTTCTAGTGAAGTTCAGATGAACCATGTGTGACCAACCGCAATCATTTTCCAGATTTTGTTATCATGAAAAAAAATAGTAGTCTCTGTCAAAATGTCTAAATCTGTTATGGGAAGAATGACTGCTTGGGTTAATATTTCGCAAATATTTACTACACTTATATATTTACTCCTAGCTTGTAAAGTTGAACATAATGTAGATGATATCGAATTCAACGCCCAAATCATTAAAGTTATTGCTGATGATTTTGTTTCCATACATAGCGTTCCCCGTGTCTTAAATCTCAAAATGGTCGTAAATAGCATCATAAACATGCTCACATAGACTTTATCGAGGTCAAATCGAGGGTATTTTCTTTGCCCTATGTATCCTGAAGAAATAATGTTCAGATTACGAAATTTGTTTGCACGTTTTATGAGATGATGGGCAAGCCTATAGAGTGGTGAAGTGTGACGTCATCAAAAATCTATTTTTTGAATTTCTCAATATTTTCTTCATATTCCGAAAGAACATCAAAAATAATGTCCAAATGTCGAAAACCAATTGAATATGTTAAGTATTGGCTGAGATATGACCATCTGAATAAATATACTCCCCATAGGAACTCAGTGTTATATGCTCTGGCTCCTAATGGTTAGGAGCCAGAGCATATAACACTGAGTTCCCATAGGACATATATTCATTCAGATGGTCATATCTCAGCCAATACTTAACATATTCAATTGGTTTTCGACATTTGGACATTATTTTTGATGTTCTTTCGGAATATGAAGAAAAAATTGAGAAATTCTAAAAATAGATTTTTGATGACGTCACACTTCACCACTCTATTGAACTTGGTTTTTTTGAGGGTTTCATAACATGCAGAGACGAATTCAGAATCGTTGGGAAATAGGGGGTGCATAATCTTTGTAAACAGCGACAGTTCGCGTTCCATAACGGGAAACTGAGCGTACAGATGCATAATTCGTATTTTAATTTCATGTTTCAAATCAAAAGGGAAGGGGTGGGCGGCCGAGTTTTGTTCGCCTTTAATCAAGATTAATATTGTTCCAGTGCAATTTCATATAATAGGCTGCCGCTATTGTACATTTTGTTTGAAGTATTTACTTATAGTATATCGTATGAGTGTGTTGCTCATTTTCTGTAACCGACATTTCATTAATTTCTTTCTTTTATTGGATTTCATATTTTTCTTTTTCAACTTTGTGTGTATAAAGGCAACCGCATTGTACATGAGCCTTGCTAATTTTCTTTTCTTTTGAGGAGTGTATTTCAGAAGCCATTTGATTTGGAAAATTATAGAAAATAACGATATCGGGTACAAGAATAATGCTTCAAAAGGATTTCTGATGAGGATACCACGTATTATAAAATGCATGATGTTGTTGCTGCAGCATTGTTTGGACAGGAATAGCGATATTTACACTCTCTGTCTGCAGTAGCATTATCCCAATATCCCAAAATATTTTAGAATACGTATATGAATACATCTAATATTATTTATCATAGACAAAGCTTTACGATTATCACTGAATTTTGTTGAAGAGCCATATATTTCCGTACATGAATATTAGTCCCTAAATATTTAGAGTTGCCATCAGAGCATACTTAGGTCAAAGTTAGAAAGCAATTAGGCCAGATATAAAAATAAAAAATTAAAAATAAATTCTTACTCGACTCGAGAGAGCAAAATGAATTGTTAAAGACGTGTTTATGGATTTTGTTAATGCAGCGAATGATTTTGGAAATGAAATGTGTTTTTAAGCACGTCTCGCTCCCCTCACCAAATCATGCCTGTACGCCTATGATATTATAACATTCAGCATTTTTAATATCAAACTTTTAAGTTGATTCTATACCATCTAATTCAAGGTTTTGAAAAGTATTGCGGAAAACTTTGTTTTTCTTCAAAATGTAAGAATCATATTTGGACAAATTCTAAATACTCATAATGCAGATTTGATATCCCGGGGATATATTAAGAGGACAAGGTAATGTCAATTATATCCCATCATGCAGGAACCAATAAGTGTCTCTGGGCACAGTTTATAGTTCCGCAACATTTGAACTATTTCAATACTTCAACATTCAGAATAAGTATAATTTCTATTCCTGTTACTGTATTGTGTCCGTTAATAATTATCTTCTTTATAAACGATTCCATACGTAAATACTCCATTCTTGCAAGGACCTCTATTTCTAACTGAATAAAGAAACGTCCATTCTCTTCACCATTTCAATTTTGTGTGTGTCATCTTTCATTGTATCATCATTAATTGTTGTCGCAATGAATGCGGGTTTAGGCATGATTTGATGCCTTTTAGCATGTCATGGGCGCAGCCATTTTCTTGAAAATGTGACTACCTAGAAGTTATACATGCATCATGCACCAATCTTTAGTTGGAAAGATTTTTTAAATCAATAACAGAACCTTTACTTATCAATGAGGAAGATTCATAGCTGAGAAGATAGCGATTATATTTGGTTAAAAAATATAACAGGAGAATAACTGTTTTGAAATAATTCATTTAAAAATACTAAAAAATAGCAGTTCACAAATCTATTTCGTTTTATATGAGAAACCTCCACCCAGAAGAGCACCAACTTGTTTATGCAACTTGAATACATTTACTTGATAAATGACTTCACATAGTACGTCACGTTATAAAGAAAATGGCGATGCCCATTTTGTGCTGAGAAACTGTACGTTAGTCTTGCTTGATATATACCTAATGCCTCTTTCATAATTCTTTGGTGGGAATCTTGTAGGTTATTCGGCAAGAATGTAATACATCTCTCAGAATAAGTAAACTTATTTTGGGGGTGAGGTTTCCTTTAATACTTATAAACATGCGTGATAAATGGATAGGCCTATGTTTATTTTATTTAAATCGCAGATGTGCATTTGGTAGGACGTACACGGCGCTGACGGCAGTGAAACATCTCCGAGCATATATATATATAAGATGTGACCTATACATGATAGCACGAATTATTTTCACCACATGATCTCCGATGACTCCGAGATCGTGCTACAGTGCCAACCGTCCAACCCGGCCGATTCTTGGGAAAGAGCTAATTCAATTCAGACGCATAAGTGAGATATTAGTCACTCGTGATGCATACCAGACAGAAAAAAAATGACGTATTGGTATCAAAATAAATAAGATGAATACAAAATATGAATTCGTATTAAATGGCGTAGTCTATAGGTATAAGTAGGCTTTCTCCTCGTCTGGGAGGACAAGCACTTTCGATATCTCTACAGGAAAAGAAGACTGGGGCTGTCGTGTCATTTCAAATGAGGAAACAACAATAAAGACAGATCAAAATAATGCCTGAGAAATAAAATTAAAATAATACCGCTTTTCAAACCAATAGGATATGCATGAAATTATACATTTGGGATTAGGGCGCAAACGCAATCGGCGATAGCTTATATAGCTCACCCGAAAATTGTTTTCTACACACTGCGGTCGGTAAACATGCTACCAACTACAACTCTGGTAAATACCCACTACGTGGGCTATGTACTTGATGCAGGGGCTGATCCAGGGAGGGGGCGTGGGGGGCACACGCCCCCTTTTTTCTTCCGAAAAAAAAATGAAAAAAAGCTGAGAAATATTCACATATTTGTTTTTATGCTATATGTTCAGTTTACGCATTCAGAAATGCCTCAACATGTAGTAGAGTATTCAAACTTTTCCGGACCCCACGCCGTAAAGGCTTCGCGCTTTGCGCTTGGAATTTTGTACATTTCACCCCCCCCCCCCCCCCTTGGAAAATCATGGAGCCGCCCTTGTGATTGCATCGTGTCGGTATTGCCCATTATGCCACCTGGTGGTGATGCAAATATTTGATGTGCCCCTCAAAAAGCTTTTGCTCAATACACCACTGATATTTAATCTTTATCTCTCCCTCTCTCTCTCTTTCTCTCTTTCTCTCTCTCTCTCTCTCTTTCTATTTCTCTTCCTTATCTCTCCACTCATATCTCTCTCTGCCTCTCTGTCTGTCTATCGATGCCTAACTCAGTTTTAGTCTAGCTTTCCCCGTGACTGACATCTGTAAGAAATCTAGTTTGGAAGCTGAACCATGGACCTAGGAGCCAGGGTGCGAGGGGGCACTACAGCCTCCCCTGCGTTGGACTGTTCTGGAGTGAAAATTTCATCTTAAATCATGTTTTTCGGGCAATGATTTTTTTTTAGATGAAAAGACACACAGAAAATAAATCTGCAGTGGTATTTTCATTTGTTATTATTATTAATGTATTATGATCATTATTGTTGTTGCTGTTGATGATGTTTTTATCATTATTTTATTTATACTTTTATGGGGGGGGGGGCTTGTCAGGTTAAAAACAAAATTGTATTCGTTTAGCCTCTGCCCCCCCCCCCTCCCATTTTTTGAAGGTGTGAATTCATTTATTTTCTTTTTTCTTTTCCTTGTCTTGCCCTTGAAAGCTGTGAAACGATTTCACTACTCCCCCCTCCCCCTAAAAGGAAAGGAATTCAGCGTACGTTGGTCTAATGTTGCCCCCCCCCCCCCCCTAATCTCCCGTAAATATTCCTAAATCCACCAATAGTTTTGTCGCACCATTTCAAAAACATCTGATAAGGGTTCATTTTCAGCCTATCGATCATTGTAGATTAAAAAATTGTAACTAATGTCAAACCCTAAAACTGGCAATTAAGCTAGGGCTTCATTTAATTTCTTTTCCTTTTTTTTTTCTTTCTAGCGCGCGATGTACACATATTTTGTCTCCTACGCGATACCGTATCTACACTCGGGAACTATCCTCTAGGCTCTACCAATTTTGTGAACATTAAATCGAGATCGAGCTGAGTTTTGCATCAAGTTTACAGTTTAATCATGGCAGTACACTTAGTGTGCCTTACTAACGAGGGAGGTGTTCCTCTATTTACACGAACGAAGGGAGATGTAAAATCTGTAAGAATTACTTTGTTATTAACTTAAGTATTTTTGCATTGTAGGACCCAACTTTAGCTTCGGTCCCATTTGTTCATTTTCGTGTGAGTTGAATGTAGGTCTGCTGTGCCTGTTGTTGTTGTTGTTGTTGTTGAAATTAATGTCGTTTTCCATCGTCGTTGGATGATTTTCGCCAGGCGATGTCAATGTGAGAGGGCGTAGTTACTGGTCCTCTCTTCAGGTATTTTTGCTCTGTTAGATCGACGTTAGCCTTTGGTGTTGTGTTTATGAAATTAATAATGTCATCAAATTTTCTAGTTATTTTCTGTAGGCCTAACGTTAACTGTTAGATCTAGATCTATTGACTATTGTTATGCAGCTTGTTCAATTCAGTTGTTGTTTTAAAGAATTAATTAGGCCTCTAGGAAGGAAAGGATGAAGTGACTGAGTGAGGTGGATCTATTTGTCTTTGTTGAAAAGTGTTGCCATGAAGAGAGGCTATCATATTTTTTGAAATACACCCTCTCATATTGATTCACATCAAACACTACTAGACCTAGATCTAGCTAGATCTACTATCATCTAGGTCTATACAAAACATCAGAATTCACTCAAATTCAGCATTTTTTAGTTACATTTCATGACATGTATTGACGTCGCGTCTAAAGAGTAAAGTAAATAGCAGCAAAGTACAGTCAATTAAAATACTTTGATAATTTAAATCATAAATCTATCGCCGACCCTGGCCAAGTGCGCTTCATGTTCATTGTTTGCACTTTTTGGTCGCTGCGACTTTGTGATTGCTGAATAGAATGACCTCCGTGTAAACTCCCTGTAAAAATAAATCTGTCATAAAAAACTTATCCATACTTAACCATGTTGTGCATGAATGCGATTTACATTCTGACTATTGGAATACTTTTTTTTTTAATGGAATAATTTGTAATGAGGCGCTTAACAAAGACTTTAATGCATTAGAATTGATAACATTATGAAACGGACCTTTTTACTATTATTAATATTATAGGCTCAATCTTACAGTCTTTGTTTTAATTTAATTTTTGTTTTGTTTTCCAGCTTGCTTTCGCCGAGCAGGGCATGCTGTACGGTGTTCAGATGTTTGCCCAAAATCACGGGGTCAAGCTAGAGAGTACGACCACTGAAGAGGCTAAGGTCATCTGGCAGGTGTTTCATGATAGGTAACTTACATAAATGACATGACACAGGTCAAATGTAATATGACAGGAGAAGATGTTAAAGGCAGGGTATTCTGCTAACACTACTTCAGATTATATACTGCCATCTGCTGCTTACAATATCCTAATGTGTTGACAGCCATGTCCCATAATGCACCATTAACTGAATGAGGCACATACGGGTATGTTGATGCTTGGGAACGGGTCGGAGATCGCTCCATGTACGCTTTTACCGAAAGATGGCACATTGTAAAGTACATCACAGCGGTGGTAGCGATGTCCATAAAATAAGGTCCTGCCTTTACAATTAAATTTGATAACTGTTCTTGTTGATTTTGTAGTGTGACCTTGGTGTTGGTGACAAGCAATGATGGGAGTTGCGATATACATTACAAGACGCTCATCAACCACATATTTCATGCAATGGTGAGTATACCAAGGTCCGGACAGTTTGACATTTGTACAATCTCTTTGGTTCACCTTATTGAAAAGTGTTTGTTACAATTTGGACCTGAGCTGCAGGTTACCCCATTAAACACCAGCACAATGTGTTGAGAGTTAATAATTAGTGTCAGGGTAAGGGCTAGGGTTGGGGTTAGGCCTCGGCACTAGGTTAAGGGTTACTTGTGTGGTAGGGTATTCTACGGTTGTTCAGAATCTTCTATGTTTAAAACAGTCAGTGTCAGAACTGTACTTAATCTTAAAACCTTTTGTTTATCCTGTCATTCTCTATTATTTTAGTTCTAAACTTGTGTTCTTCTTTCTATCTATATTGTTTTATGTTTGACAAATTCCCTCTCCTCCCCCTTTCAGTGTCTGCAGTACTAGCAACATGACTTTCCCCACATCTGTCAAAATATCCTCAGTCTTTATCTCTATTTCCCAAATCATTCTGCACCGGTTGAGTTCCTGTAGAGTTGGCATTTTAATAGTGACCAAGAACACTCTTGAATTCCAATTCGCTACATATTAACAAGGTGTCCACTCTGAACTCAAGTTTGTTTGAATAAAAGCAGAAAATATAAGAAGCAGGTCAGTGAAAGTTAAAGGAGTAGAAAGATATGATCCGAAGTAATGATCAATCAAGGACAAGTATGCAATCCTTTTCATTTTGTGTTCCACAGGCTCTACAAGCAATTGTCTATTTGATATGCACATATTATTTTCCTCAATTTTGTTATGAAGGAAAAGATCTCTTTCATAAATGAGTGATCACTTTTTTTTTTTTTTTTTGGGGGGGGGGGGGGGAGGTGGGGGATGAACTATACATTAAGTGAGGGATATAACCTCTAATTCAGAGATGTGAATGATACTCACATGTACCTTTTCTCCCATGATCTTTTCTCGTCTTTCCTGACCATAGGTAATGTTCATAGGCCTGGAGACCCTAGTGAGCATTAGGACTGTAGAAAAACTTCGCAGGGAAATCAAGGTGAGTGTTGAAGGGATTGGGTATCTTTGCCTCAGATTCTAAACAAAATCCTGGATTTAGCTCATGCTGCAATCATACTTACTGTACAAACCTTTGGATAAGTCAGAAATCCCATGACTTTTGCAAGCCAATCACCTGTCTGATTATTATGATTGGAAATCAAAATTGTAAAAAAACATTTTTCTGACGGTTTATATAACACTAAAGTCTATTGGGGAAAATGAGTATGGTAAAACCAGTGACTCAAAGATTTTCTACTTTTTTGAGACACCTCATGATCATTTTGAAGCGCAATTTGTTTTAGGGCTTCAATATTACACTATATCACAGACATGATACATGTAACACGTAGGGCCATGCATCTCCAATCTAACATTCTTAAAGGATGCCTTAATGGCTACAAAAGGTTGGTCTGGAGTCAGTTTTTTAATTGAATTGAGGGTGTGACTGAGGTATTAGAAACGTTTCCCAGTTGTACCCTTCTAATTTTTTTAAAATATTTTTTGCGGCAGGTCTGTTACCCGGTTATTGATACGCTTCTCCAAGATACTGACCTGTATGGTGCTCTCTCATCATCAGTAGATGTCCTTGTCTCAGCAGAAAACACAACTTTACAGGTAGGTGTGGTAAGCTGCAGAAGTCAGAAGTGGGCACATCCCCCACGCCCGTACCCCCCGTACCCCCGTAGTGAAAAAAAATATGAAAAAAGAGACAAAATAGGGGGTAAAAGAGAAAATAAAGGGAAGAATGAGGAAGTGAGTGTGAAAAGAAGGAGATGTTCCCCCTCCTACAGTGACATTTATATCACCCTGATCAATTGCCTCGTTTATTTTCATTTCATTTTCCAAGTAATACTGGTCCCAACCCTACACAAAATTAAAGGCGTACAGTGTTTGCAGATATATGGTTTAGAACTTTTATAGCCTGTGAAGGACCATAATGCATTTTTTTCAGTCGGGTGTTGTTACATAATGAATTTTTACATCTATACTGACATAATTCTTTCAAAGCTGTTTGATGCAAATAAAAGGAATTTAGACTTAGTTTCTACATTCAATATATTATTACCAAGTACACTGTATCTTGGAAGCAAGAATATAATGAACGCTGAAATTATTATTTTCCTTTGTCTTTTCTCTGATCTCGGCTGTGTGAAAGCTGTCTGCTCAATACAGTCATCAGGTTTACTATAAAGTTTCGATGTTGTCAGTAATGTGTGGACAACCTTACCCTAAGAGAATACATGTAGCCTTCTTTTGAAATAATGAATTTCTCATCCAGGAACCTCTTGAGGCATTTGTCACCAGCGCAGAAAGTACGTTTGGTTGTCTCCATGCTGACGGCAAGCTAGTGGTCGCTACGTCCAATTGGTGGGCACTCAGCGGTCAAGAGATGATGCTGGTGGCCAAATTCATCCAGTCCCTACCCATCGGAACGTCCAGCGATGTGCCCATCTATCTGCCACATGCAAGTCCAAAGGTAAGAATATCAGCTTGTAAGGTGTTAGATTTCACTTTAAAGGTTACAACTGAACCCCCATGGTGCCACCAACTTGACAAAAATTCAACAGAAAATATAATCATGTGAGAAAAGTTTCTATTAATAATGCTTGTTTTGTGATTATTTTACTTCACTGTTGTTGAACCTATATGCAATTAGAAGTATGAAGACAGTTTCCTATGTTTTTTTTTTGTATCATACCATACAAAATGTTAATTATGTGTTTGGGTCTTCTTTTTATTTGTATAGAAGAGAGATTTACATCATCTGAACAACAAACCAATTTAATTATGGTCTATTTGGGACTCTTCTAATAGTTACTGCTGATGTATATATGTAAACAAAATTTTGCTTTCCTTCAGTGGGTATTGTTTGAAATTGCATGATATATACTGGAATTATTCTCAATATCAGGGACGATTCCTTTTAAAGGCTGAAATAATATCTTTTACCTGCTATTCATGTAGCAAGTTATTTTACCAGTGTGTTATAAACATAAACTTGATTAATAGATAAATGTTTGGGAAAATGTGTGTCATTGAGAAATGTTGCTTTATTTTCATGTCCAGTTGCAACTCTGGATCTGGAGATATATTTTGAAATATGATATCATTTTCAGTGGTATCATTTCGCTCTTCTTTCAAAGAATAATTCTTGCTACTGCATATGGCATTATACATTCCCATTTTACATTCCCATTATACATTCCCATAATGCTGCTCCAATACCTCAGAGATTTTGTAGACACATTAACTTAAATTCGCTAGTAAAAATAGAGCATTGGCTTTTTTCAGCTATATGCAGTAGGGAGTATTAGTAGAGTGGGTGTCAGTGAAAAATATGTTTTCTCCATCAAATAAATTTTACTAAATGCACGCTTTAAAGCCATACCGCACTAGTTTGGCCAGGAGGGATTAGACCTCCCTGCATGGTCACTGACAGCCTAGGTGGATATCTTATCTAAAACCCTCTCAATTAACATAATAAAAAGATGATCATTGGGGACCAATGGTCACCAATTAAGGCGTTGTTTGCTATATAGAGGGCGCAAGTAGCTATAAGTAGTGCAGTGGGGCTTTAAATCAAGATTTTGGTGGTGGTTTTCTTTCAGGACCCCCACAGATTATTGAGCATCCATCTTCAACCCGGTGTGGTTGTGAGCGTCCTGTGCTATGCTAACCCTACCCTAGCCGAGGCAGAGGAACAACTCATCGAGCCGGCCTGGAGGTTGCATCACGAGGCGCTCCGAGCAATCCAAAGGGCGCCCTCGTCCAACATCCCAAGGACAATCCCATTGGATGCAGGCATATTGGGGTAATTGCTTGTGATTTAACATTGAATGATGTTGCGTAGCCTGTATGTGCATCTGGCTCAGATCAAATGCTACAAGAACTCTTTAGTGAGTGTAATTTCGAGCAAGTTTTTCTTAGTTTCTTCATATATTTTTTGTCTAAACGACCCAACTACTGCATAATAAACAAATAATTCTAAATCAGTATGCATCATTTCCTCTGTAATTGGCATTCTATTTCCAAAATTAGAAAGAAAAAGTAGAAAGAAAAAGACACAGGATCTTAGAATTGTGTCGGTATCCTTGCTATTCATTTACGAACTTAAGTCAAAGAAACTGGACAAGTAATTTAAAGAAAGACCGAAGCAATTTTGAAATATGTTGAAAATATGAATACCGGATACACAATTTCACATGTACATGTACTTACCATTTGGTATTTAATACCCCTTTTGGGAAATTTGCCCTTTGCCCTTTGCCCTATTGGGGGAACCACATTCATCCAGGGTGTTAGGAATGAGTGCGAACAATGCCACCAGAACTCATCTTGACCTTTTGAACTTTTGACCTTTTGACCTTTATCACTAACATCCTGGGCTTTCTTTTCCTTTAGGTATGTTTTATTGAACACCGACCAGCACAAGTGTCTGTCGTCAGTCCGCCTTCCTCTGATTGCAGGGGGCGCGGCCGAGCTGAAGCCCCTCCCACCCTACGCCCGGAGAGAGATTCTCACGGCTTTCTACCGCACCGTGGTGGGAGGACTCTTCCCCCCTTCCCTCAGCCCAGAGAGACAAGGTAAGAATGTAAGGGTGCATTCAAGCAACACTTTTTCACACTAGAAACACGGTTTTCAAAGAAAGTTTAGTTTAAAACAGGGTTGGGTTCAAGCGATTTCAAGCGATTTTTTGTCGGTCGTAAAAATAAACGTGTTGAAAAACGCAAACATGAAATGCTGAAAAAGAAACGCAGCGAAGTTGACCTATACTTCCTGGGTCAAACTGCACAGTGTGATGAGCAGGGGCTGGGCTTGAAATGAGCGAGAAACAGCATTGAAGAAAAATTGCTTGAACGCACCCTGATTGGTGCTGTTGTTCGAAGAGAAGGAAGAGTTCCGATCAAGGTGGAAATAGTTTGTGAGCTTTTCCATTCTTGTTGTGTTAGGCCAAATTTATAAAAAAAAATATGTTTAGCATCCTGCCTTTTTGAAAAAAAAGGAGGAGGAGTCCTTTTTTTTTTTTCTTCAAAATGGCCGCTCGAAATGGCTGCTCAGTACATTTTCTGTGACAGTCTGGTTTTTTATCAAGATAGCCGCCAGATTTTTTTTTAAAAATCAGAAATAGATCATTTGAACAGTGTTTTCATGTTTTTTTCTTTAAAAAAAAAAAGGAAGCAGGCAGGGACGCTAGACATCATAGAATAAATGCTCCCTGAACAGGATTGCCATTTAAATGCCTTCGTATTCAAAATATAATGACATATGCTGAAATGTTTGGACCTAATATTTATGCCACATGCTTGTGTAGTCCATTATACACATTTCTGTGTGCAGTGTTTGTGACTGTTCGGCAAAACTTTGTCAATTTTTGTTTGTGTGTGGATGATTTCCGAAACAGTGTACTCCAATACTTACTATTCTTACATGCTGTATAATTAACCTTTCCCCATTGTTGCCAGACATTTTTGATCATAATGCAATCGCATGTCGAGCACTCAACTTGATTTTTAACCCTTTGCCTATGGGACCCATGAGCATACTGTATTAAGCCTATGGGAATGAATGCATTCAGTAGTCAATGGGTTAAAGTTTATACCTTAGTCACACCGCCATACCAGCTCAAAACTGACCAATAGCTTGACCATTCAAGGTAATGCAATTTTTTTGTCAGTCTATTTTCTGTCTAGTGTTGGTCATTGATGCAATTGGGTATTACTGCATCTGCATCACTGAATTTACCAACATTTACCATAAACCAAAGTTCAGGGGATGTGTCATGATAATATTTTGTCTTTCCAGTTCAATTCAATTCGATGCAATGTCTTTATTGTCCATATCAACAAAAATTTACTTTGTGTTCATGCACAATACATACAGAAGAATAGATACGTCAAAGATTAAAATTCCAGACCGAAGAATGAACAGAAAAAGTGATTTACAAGTAATTGTTCCTATTTTATTTTTTTAAATTTCTTCAATGAAGATTCATCGGGGGAAGCCTACAAGTGCCTGCCACACAGCGCAGAAGAGACTTACATGTGTGGTGACGACTTTAAGACCTATGCCCTCAACTCTGGAGGCTTTCAGTTTTTTGTTCTCTTCTCATCGGCAGTCCCACAGTATGCGATGAGGTAGGTCAACAGGGTTTGTTTTTTCCAGTTCCATGATAAAGATGCTGTAGTTGAGTGGTTTAAAGGGATTGGGTAAATTTTTCCCAGATTCTGAAACAAAATCCTGGATTTAGCTCATGCTGCAACAATAATTATAAACCTATAGGTCAGTCCAGAACCCCATGACTTTTACAAGCCGATCGCCTGTTCGATTATCATGATATTTATGATTGAAAAACTAAATCAATCTTTGCGTTTTCCTAACAATTTCATAACACTACAGTCTATTGGGGGAAATGAGTATGGTAAAGCCGGTCACTCAAAGATTTTTACTTTGTTGTGGCACTTCATGATCATTTTTAGGGCTTCAGTATTACACCATATCACAAACATTGATAACACGAAGGGCCATGCATATCAGATTTAAAATCGCTAAACAATGCCTTTAAACACGTAACTGGAGATGCAAAGGTTGTAGGTAAGAGCTCCAGCATGGATCTAGTGTCCTTTGGCAAGACATTAATCTACATTTGCCACTCCCCACCCAGGTGTTGAATGGGTAGAAAAGAAGTCTCTGAGCACTGTGAGCACCAAAAACGGTAGCCTTTCTAGAGCTCTGCTAATATCCAAGTTCCTTGAGCACCTTGCATGGTGGATACGAGCAGTATTATCCAGTATGATTATTGGTATTATTATCTTTAACATTTTTATATTTCCTGCAGAGTTGCTTTGGGCTTTATTTTGTCAGATATAGGGTTAGGGTTTGGTTTTAGAATAGTTTTGGGTTAGGGTCCAGGGTTAAAGTTAGAATGACAGCACATCAGTTGCCATTGAAGCAAGTATAACAGAACCTTTCCATTTTGTAGCCAAGGATTGATGTCATTTTGCTTTATATCTCATTTCCCTTTTCATTACCAATGTCAGATCTGTGACCAAAAATCTTCTAGGAACGCTGTCCAAAGAGAAGATCTTTGTCGATCGAAGGACAAAGTCATCTTGATAACTGGATTGAGATGGTCTGGAATGGACAGACTACAAGAAGAAGTCATTGACCGTGGCTCGTGGTAGCATGACAAGGTCATCTTGCCATCTTGGATGTAGGATAGTCTCTACATGTATGAAAGAGACTGCATTCATCGCCTGCTCCTCATGATGCCAAACTTAGCATCCATCGAACAAGAAGAAGAAGCGCTGCAATGATTGCTCGACAAAGACATCTCAATAGCTTGGATCTACGATGGGATCTGTTGGAGTAGCTGCAATAAGAGATCCTTGCTTGTGGCTTATGATGCATGATAATATCAGTATCACAAAAAAGGAGCGCTACATCAGTGATTGCATGAGAAACTTATTTGATACCTCGGATGTAGTTTGGAGCTTGTTCCCACTTTCTGTAGCCATTTCCGTAGCCATCGCATATAGCTATCGATGCTCATAAAACCATCAATATCACAATGAGCACTGCAATGATGGCAGAACTAAAGTCCTCTTGATATCTTGGATGTAGGAAGGTCTTGATCTGAGAAGTGCAATATAAGGTCGTCAACTATAGCTTCTGGTGTCAATGGTGCTACCTGTCTCACCAAGAAGGAGCCATTTAATTATGATTGGACAAAGACACTTTTAATCTTGAATGTAGGAGGGTCTTGAATGAGACACTGTACTACAAGGCCATTACCTATAGCTCCTGGTGTCAATGGTGCTACCTGTCTTACCAAGAAGGAGCCATTTAATGATGACATGACAAAGACCCCTACAAATCTTGGGTGTAGGATGGTCTGAATTAGCTAGACTGCAAGAAGTGGCCCTCACTTACAGCTCAAGTTGCCATAGATACCATCTCTTTCACAAGAATTTATGCCACAGTCATCGTATAGCAAAGTCACCTTGGTATCTGGGATATATAGATGATTTAGAATGCTTCCATTTAAGTTACGTAGTCATTCCCTAAAGCTCAACACCTTGGCATTGAAACCCTCTAGGTGTTTGGGTTTACAGGGTTCTGGGAGGAGGGGGCAGAGTGTCGGTAACACTGATGACGCCCAATAAAAAATTTGGCAGCTGTGGTGAAACTGAGAATTGTTTCTGCTCCTTCAGACGGGGCTGTGACAAACACTGGTGTGAAGACAGAATTCAACTTGTATCGAATGGTACCATGAAATGTCCTGGTGATCAGAAGCGTCCTTTTGCTACCATATGCTTATGCTGAGACTGTTTGTAGAGGAAGCTTTGGGCTTGGAGCCAGGTGGCAATAGGTGGAGAAGCCACTGTCTATCAAAGCTGTGAGAGGTGTGCTCTTTATCTTGACAGTGATCGTTGGTTTCACCTTAGATGATTGAGGCGTATTGAGTTTTGTGCCTAAACAATGCTGGGGGGGGGGGGCACATCTAGGTTTATAGCATTGATAGCCCACTGTTGTACTGGTCTTTCCTGCGTTGTAGTACTTCAACACCGTTTGGTGAAGTGGTTTCGTTTTCAGCATGAGTGACATGTAACCCCTGGATCAGGCCAGATTTTTTCGGGTGGATGCCGAAGAGTTCCTCCTCAGTTGCGACATTTAAGCTTTCGCTGTTGTTGTGGACACTCATCTATCAATTGCGTACATTACGAAGTGATGCGGCTGAAAAAAAGCATGGTCTTTTCATTGATGCTGTTTGTGTGTCGGCAACTTCAATGCTCTCGCTGTTTTTAATAGTTGCATTAATGTGAGTTTGGATATAAAGCACTGAGAACTGTTATTACCTATAGCTTTATCCAAGCTTCCTGATAAGGTGCTCATAAGAATTCTAGGAATTTCTTCCTTCTGGGCACCCATTTAAAGTTTTCTTCTGTACACAAAAACTGCAAGTGGTTGTTCATGTGTTTGGTAATTGAAGTTGTATGTATTTTACGTAATTGTTTGTTCTTGAACATGTGCAATGATAATCCGATGTCCTTTGAAAATGATAATTGATTTGTCAATTACTTTGAATTTAATAATCTCTATATAATGGAATGCAATATAATGTCCTTTGGGATTACTAAGTATTCAAGCAGGTTGACATGTCTCCATCATATCAGCAAAAGCATCTGGTACAAAAATACAAAATAGCAAGAAATAAAGTTATAAACACAGAATAATATGAAGTAAGATTTCTCTTTGTAAACATTTTTTTTCAATTTTTCTTTGTTGACATTTGCGTTTTCCCAGGTACTGTATGATTTGATTTTGATGAGAATATCAAGGGGTCAGTGACACAAAGACGTTACTCCATTTTGGCCATTTTGAGAAAAAGTGGTTTATGTGTCACTGAGCATTTGGGCCTTAAGAAGTTAAGTCTATATTTCACTAGCCATCGACTTCATTAGGGTGTTGGGTGGAGTTAAGTCTTTGTGTTTCCTGGAAAGCCCACATTTTTTTCTGAACACTTTGATATCGAATACTCATTTTGGCAAAATATGGAGTTACGTCTTTGTGTCACTGAACCCTCGAGATGTTCTGGTAAAATAAGAATGGAAGAGAGAATAATAGATTAAGGTTCTGAGAGGAAAACAGAGACGGAGAGAAGGTCGAGAAAGATGAAGAGAGAGGGGGAAAGGGAGAAATAGAAAAGAGAGAGCGAGAGAAAGAGGGGGAGAGGAAAAGAGACGGACAGATGAGGTCAACGTGGAGGGATAGAGAGAGTCTGAAAGTATTGGCAAGCAGCTAAATATGCACCTTAATATTACATCCATAAATAATTTTATCACAACATTTTAGATCAAAATGAATTAATTTTCAATAAAACAAAATGCTATTCAAGAGGGGGAGTCACTGAAAAAAGGTGAATTTTCCAGAAAGATGCAGAGAGAGAGAAAAAAGATAGGCAAGTGGTCCTTTATATACTATTCTCTCTCTCTCTCTCTCTTACACACATACACTCTCTCACACACACACACCCTTGCTCTCACATAGTCTACCATATACATGTACATGCAAGAGAGAGTGTATACATGTAAATATTGAAACTCGATTGTCCATGTATACTGAAGAGAATATTTACAATTTAACTGCAGCATGAGTACGTACAGTCTACCCAATGCAAACCACCATGTTCAATGTCGATCCCCTGTATTAAATATCCTGTCATGGTCATTTTAAAGGATACTCACTATCACAGAAACGAGATCGACACCAGACTGAACAAATTATCTCCAAATGTAATGCATGCCTCGTTACAAAACATTTCAATCATATGTTACGGATAATTGTATTTCAATAGTAAGAATGCAGATTGCATACATTACGTATGTTATTAGGTAGGGCAAGCCAGTGTTTGTCCTACGTACGTAGCAACAACTAACGTATTCAATTTGTATTCTGACTATTAAAATACATTTATTCGTAAACAGGTAAATGTAATATGGCACTAAACAAAGACTCATTCATTAAATTTTATCACATCACGAGTATGGCTTACTTGATTATCTTACCTCGAACGACCAAGATGTCGGTCAGTTTGGAGTTCAGTTGGTGTAGAGTTGGTTATCGACGGAAGAATGACACTTAGAGGATCATTTTACATACCGCCTTTTTGTTAAAGTACCGTATCGAATGTTAGCAAAGCAATTCCAAGTAGTTTCTACCTGTCATATATAGAGGTCAAGGTAGAATATGATATTGATGGAGTATAATTTTACTTTTAAAAAAAAGTAACATGGCGGCAGAACGACCTACCCTGTGTTTTCCTCAATACTAGTATAGTTGAGCTGACAAGAATCATAAGATAGAAGTATTTTTAATAATACCATTCATGAAATAGATAAGTCTGTCAGTTTGTTTCATATTTCCTTGATTGTATGCCCAATCCTCATCCTCCCCCATCCCTCGCTCTCCCTCTCTCCCTTTTCTCTCCCTCTTCCCTCTTTACCTTTCTCTCCCTCTCCCGGTCTCTCATCTCTCTCTCTCTCTCTCTCTCTCTCTCCCTCTCCCTCTCTCTCTTGCTCTCTCTCTCTCTCTCTCTTGCTCTCTCTCTATCTCTCTTTCAGTCTCTCTCTCTATCTCTATCTCTCTCTCTCTCTCTCTCTCCCTCTATCTAGCTCTCTCTCTCTCTCTCTCTCCCTGTCTCTCTCCCCTCCCTCTCTCTCTCTTGCTCTCTCTCTCTCTCTCTCTTGCTCTCTCTCTCTCTATCTCTCTTTCAGTCTCTCTCTCTATCTATCTCTCTCTCTCTCTCTCTCTCTTACTCCCTCTCTCTCTCTCTCTCTCTCTCTCTCTCTCTCTCTTACTTTGGGTTCGTGTTTTGTCGTGTTTTTTTGTGGTAATATTCTTTTATTCTTTCTTTCTCAACAAAAAAAATCGAATACATTAATTGTTCAAAATACAAAATATTGCAAAACCGTTCAAAATAAAATCTAAAATACACTGATACCTAATCCTTATTTTAAAAAATTCATGTATATGAAAGTGATAGCTTATAAATATTATGTATGGAAGCAAAGTATTGCAAAAATTATTTGTTTCACATTTCTTTTAGAATATATAAGCAAAGCATATCTCTGTTAGTCTGAGGAAAAAAATTTCATATTGGTTAAAGGAAAACCGGGACATAATAAATACATTAGAGCCAGGTCGCACGTACTTGACCGACAACAGACCGGGAAAAAAACAGTTCCATCATCACCATCACGAATAGTACAACATCGGTTGGTTAACTGGTTTGGAATTGCTTTAGCGATGTGACCGAAGAACCACACTGTACTAAGGCCCGTTTGTTGATTGGGAGTTAATAGACCTCAAACATTGTCCTCGCAAAACTACTAAGCAATTAATTAGTACTCATGACACCAATGTAGGCTCGTACCATTATTGTCAATTTGGACTAATCAGTTCCTACTTTTTTGTTTTAAAAAAAATGGTCAATACGCTTTTGCTTTTAAGACTCATTGGAATAATCATTGACACGAACCAATAGAGTGCGAATAAAACAAAACCACCCACCTTTTGTAATTAAAACATAATACAGTCAGTCTCAAATGTTAATGTCAAAGGCAAAGCCTTTCATCTTTTCAAATCGTTTTGTAAAAAGTTGTTATTTACTTTGACATGTTTAAACTGACCCTATAACTATGCTGATGGTAAGTCTTTGTATTACTAATAAGAAAACGCATTTACAGGCCTAAATAGATAACTAGATAGATAGATATACAGATAGAAATAGACATAGATGGATGGATAGATAGATAGATAGATAAAATTAATGCTGTCTCTATTTCGCCGACTCTTTCTCTACTTCTGGGTGGTATCAATGTTCCATTGCTTTAATGGTAATGGAAACGGTAGATTATTTGAGAAGTAAAAATGGCGAAGCGTGTCTCCATTCGTGTGGAGGGAGCGGGGGGGGGGGGTGTTCGGGGCACTGGGAACATTAGGTTGATGGAAAGCAAGAAAATAAGGCCTTAGAATGAGGGACAAAGTTTTGTAAAGGTCATATCCGCCTTGTTTACGTGGCCACCCCCCCCCCCCTCTCTCTCTCTCTCTGTCTTCCTCTCCTTCCTTCCTCTCTTTGTTTTCTTCCCACTCACGTTAGCTCCCACACATAAATAGACGTATATAAATAATGCAGGTAAGAACAAAAAGCAATGAAATCTCACGAATAGATTTGATTAGACCTGGAAATATGTCGATCAGTTCGTACCGATTCTAAACGGTAATTTAAAAGTGAACCTCATCATTATAGTACAGTGTATCGAGCTTATTGAAACAAATCGGAAAGAAGAGAGAAAGAGAGAGAGGGGGAGAATTGGGGTAGAAAGAGAGAGAGAGAGAGAGAGTAGATGCAATTTAAAGGAAATCCAATACATTTTTTTGTTTAATACTAAGCAAAACAAGCAAACATAAAAGAAAAAAAAGTCGCACTTTTAACCTTGTAATTGTTCTGATACATGTTACAATCAGATCTTTATTAAGGTCATATTGTTAAAAAAATTCACTCGCTAAAAATAACATGTATATCATTCAAGTATACAGTGAAACAAAATACAATACAAAACAAAGAATTTACAATCTACAAACAGAGTAGAAACAAAAACAAGATAGAGAAAACTAGGTCGACTAAGGGCAGGCGTTAAAGATTGAAAATCTTAGTTGTGCTGGCCCTTGAAAGAGAGAAGGGAAATGAAAAGAAGAAGAGAGGGAAAATATGTCGTGAAATAAGTATAGAAATCATTAGAAAATAGTAAAAGGACTCGACTATGTGACGGACCAGGCCCAGGTGACATTAAAGATTAAAACTGTTTGTGAAAGGGCATGTGTTTAATAATAATAATAATTACAGTGCTTATATAGCGCCTAACACTTACTTTGTCAGAAGTCTCTAAGCGCTCTACAATAATGCAGCATAATTACCCTGGCTTTAGCAGTGCAGCTGTTACGCGCGCTGCGTTTCAAGGAATAAATTCCTACCAGGTACCCATTTACTTCACCTGGGTGGAGTGTGGCAAATGTAGATTAATCAACAAAGTGTTAAAATAATCCTGGTTATACCTCCGTTATTAAATATAGTAAACAGGTACTAACTACAATGATACAACAAAAACGCACACATCAAACAATTAACATTTATAATAATATTATAAATTTGATTTCTGGGAAGGCAAGATGTACATTTTGTACTTGTACTGTCTTCAGCTTTTACAGCTTATATAATTCATATACGTGATTATCCTTGCATTGTAAATGGTAATATATATATATATATATATATATATATATATATATATATATATATATAGACATGTATAAAGGAGCGATTGAGAAGAAGGGGGGAAAAACACGAAATTTATTGAACATTAAGCAATGAGGCATAATATATACATACCATGGGGTAAATACATCTTATAACTGTTTAAAAGTGAGTAAGAGTAATCAGATAGATCTTTCATAAATTCAGTTTCTCAATCAATTCCCTTTAAAAAAATATATATATTTAATACATGGCATTTGGAGATGACACTTATCATACCCGAGTCAAACCGACAAGGCCGAAAGCAGACCGAAAGCAGACCGAATACGAAATCGTATTCCGAATGGCCACGAATCGGTCAGTGTTAAGACTTGGCGGTGTGAATAACATGGTAAGTATAATTTAACTTATGCCTACATCAATCTTACTTCCTTAATTCTGACTTTGTCTCCTTATTGTTGGTAAAAAAAAATATTAAAAAATGCAACCGAAGTAAGTGTAAAGTTGCGTTGTAGTAATGGTTTTTGTCAATGAAATACAGCGTCAAACAATCTAGTTTAGTATTAAAACACCTGAAGCTGAATTAAGCTGTATGCTAAAGTCATTCATAACCACGTTTCAATTTGGTGAATATTATTTCATTCGTCGCAACACATTATTGTGCAAGTTGTTTTCTATTTGTACCATAGAACATGTGGATATATCATAATATGTAGACTGACACTGTTCGATCGTAGCTCCATGAATGAATTTCCAAATTTGCATAGCAGTGTAATTTATACTTATGGAGTAATGTTCATTCATATATTTTTTAATTTGCTTTCATGATGTGATATAACGTTTTATGAGAAAGCCATCAGATAATAATTAGTATGTACATACATGCATTTTTAAGATATTAATGTCACAGTTTATATAACCTCTCCTGTATACCAAAGGGTCATTGGTTTTATGTTTTATAACAGAAAGGACAAGAGACGTCAACTCAGTGTAATCTTGGGGTTGGGAGATTCTTGCGGTTCGTTTTAAATGTCGCCATATTAACTGTGACTTATTTTTTTTTAGAAATACCACTACACTAAACTCCTCGTCTTTGTTCTTATTCCAGCGTATTCTTCTCCCGCGGCCTTCTTCGTCAAAAGTCGCCATAGTGTGACGTACCCTTTAAAAAGACCACTTAACAGAAATGGTATTCTCAGTCATATTCGAGCTTTTCCTTATTTCCATATTCTTCAAACGATTCCACAAGTGAGTGAGGTCTTCAGAAAGACCACTAAACGGAACTGGTCTTCTTGGTCTTATTGGAGCTTCCACTGCTGGTACTAGACCCAGCTGACGTCATTTTCTTGCTCCACAACTTCCTGACCCTGGCATTAACACCGAACGAGAGAAATACCGAGATGCCTTGGAGACCATTGACCGTTATGAACAGGTACCAGAGGGCGGACGTTGTGCCCAGGGCGGCTACCAAGCCAAACAACCAGCTGAATCCCATCAAACAAGATATCTATCAAAAGAAGGAGGAGGAGAAAGAGAAGATGAAATGGAAGAAAAACAAAAAAGAAGAATATGACGTCATTTAAAAGACATTTAGATAATGTAATTAATACCCCAAAAAAGCTTATACTTTCATAGATTCCAGGGATAATTCATCTAAGCTGAAACCATTCGAAACATTTGACTGGTATCCACTCTTAGCGAGTGAATTATAATTTTGAGAGTGGATTCCACCATTTTAAGCGATGATTTCTACTCCAAAGAAAGTAATCCCTATTGATGAACCCCCCCCCCCCCCCCCCCCCCAAAAAAAAAAAGAGAGAGAGAGGTTTATTTCCACTCCTGTATGTTTAAAAACTCAAGTTGAGACTGGAACCTTTCAGCTGACCGAAGGACACACTAAAAGATTGGTCTCACGGGCCTCTCAAGCAAGTATGTATTTGGAAGTTCTGTTCTCGAGACCAAACCAAATTAAGTAGAAACTAATTATTTGAAGAATTGTACACCTATGAATGGATGAATTGGTTTGGCTCTTTCATTAATTTTCATTCACTTCTCATCAATTTATAAATGAACAGGGTGGACTCGGATAATTTTATTTTAGTGAGTGAGTCTAAGTGTGGCCAGCCAGGGAAACATGTGGATCAACGGATGTTTCTGTTTGGTTTTGCGAATTGCGGGTGGATTTGCAAGTGGATGTGGAACAATTTGGTGCAAAGGGACAAAATAATGATGTGAAGTAGAATCAATGGGTCTGACGCCAAGTGATATGTATGACTATGTACATGTAACTTAGATAGTCACACAAATCCATCAGCCCTTTGGAATAAAGCCCAAATCTCCTATCATAAAATGTGGCCCGGGCCTGCAGGTGAAGCAGTTTAAATTGTAAATGATGTATTACCTTGAAGTAGATGAGTAGCTCTGATATTACATGCTTGTGTGATCTGTCTTGTTGAAGAGCGCCTCGGGTCATTTTTCTCGTTCTCCAAATGTTGACAACAGTGATGGTAAAGAGAATGACATTGGCAACCAACGACAATACAACTGGACCAATGAAAAAGACGATATTTGCAAGAACTGGATACACCCAGCAGTTTCTTCCCGATCCGTACTCGAGCAGGAGGACATCATTCTCGGTGAAATGCAACCCGAGGGCGACGATTACGAGAAGGAGAGGAACGCCCCATCCGACAAGCGAGTGGCGAGCGTAGCGTTTGAGACGACTGGTTGGATCACGATGTGAGCGGGTTTGAGTTACTCGGAAGCTTCGGCAAAGGTCAAATGCAAGAAGAGTCATCCACGCAAAGGCACACAGAAGAGTGAAGTGTGCAAGAACTGCCACACCCTGACACAGAGCCGTTGTGCGACGTGCGTAAGGAGCGACATACTGCAGACAAATTTGGGATATCAGCAAGGATAACGCAAAGCTCAGTATAGCACATCCCTGGAAGTTGCGAAGTTCAGGAAACATCAAATAGGTCACGATCAATAATATGAGACACAAGGTTGATATAGCTAAGAGAACATGGCTATAGATTAGTTGAACATTAACAGTTTTTGTCGTGGGAACTTCCTCTACTTCTCCTTCTTGTTCTAGTACAGTGGAAAAGTTGTTATGGGTGACGCAGATTCTGATAGAGGTGTTGGACACATATTCAAACAATTCATCTTCGTATTCGGTTTCATTGTAGACGACAACCGTCGAGTTTCCGACATCTTTCAAGGAATATTTCTCCTCTGGTAGGACGACGGCACAATTAATCATAGCCTTCCGTGTACCACACACTCTAAACTCCCGCGTTTTATCTGGATAACTTGAATCGTATAAGTACGACTGAACAATTACGTCATATGTCGTTCTGTCATTCCACCAAGTTGGTAAAACGTAAGATCCATTGAAAAAGAGAACGAATGGTCCATTTTGCCAGACTGGTGTGAAAGCATCCGGTTGACCGAAGAACCACTCTTCGTCACATTCCATCGATGAAAGTGACGTTGAGATGGAGTCATTACGATCTCCTTCAAGTGAACAGGTTACCCCGAATTCTATGAAATCTGCACATCCTTTACTCCAGAGGTTATTAAACTCATCCTCCAGGATGTTTGCGATGTCATTTTGCAGAAGACGTGCGTTCGTAAAATTGACCATAGCCAACCAATCAACCGTAGCAATGGGGTACTTGACAGCCATTGTTTCATAACCGTCGGCATATGGTCCCAGGTAATCACGGATCGTAGATACAGCATCCAGGCAGGACTCGAACCCGTCCTCACTGAATCTATGCATCACATGCAGAGTTGTAGCATGGCATTCTGGCCAGGGCGGATCGTTCTCTGGTAATCTGCAAGGGGTTGAGATCTCCTCGAATCCATAAGGACACTCGATGACGAGTTTAGTTCGAGGGGAATACGGTGGGGGTATCGTCGTACGGTATGGATTCAGATCAAAAGGCGCCGCCACTCCTTGTGTTGCATGCATTTCCACTTTAAATGAGAAAAAAAACTCTTTACTTTTAGTTTCTGTCACCGCTCGTGTTGCAGAGCTAAAGAATAAAACATACTTTAGTTCACCCTGATCGGCAACAATACTGTTCTCCCTGACTCCTGAGGGCTCTGCAATTATTACAGCCCCAGCAATTGCAAGGTAGGCCCACTAATTTACACCTGGGTGGAGAGTGACAAATGTGGATTAATAAATGCCTTAGCAAAAGGCGTTAGTACTGGGATGGGATTTGAACCCATATCCCTTGGATTGAGAGTAAAACTACCACTATGCCACGAAATATCCACCTGTTTTGGAGACAGGACTGCTATTCCTAGAAAAAGAATGAGGATGAGAATAGGGACTCCATGAATTTACCCCTTCCCCATACCACAAAAAGGATGATCAGATGATCACTCTAATGTGTTGTATGCATGGTATATATATTTAACATAGTTGGGTATCATCATTATCTGCTTTCTGTTAAGAAACCGATTATGTGAATTGTGGACGAGATGTAGAGATGTGTAAAGATGATTCGGTCTGGTGGATAAGTCGCCGGACTGTGCATCGAGCCCGACCACGGAACTAAATGTCCTTTGGACAATACATTTATCAGCATTTACCACTCTCCAACCAGATGAGGTATACGATACCGGGCGAAAGAAATCCCTTGAATAATTCAGCCTCTAAGCATGGCGGCTAGGATACTTTTCTACATGTACTGAGCGCAGTAGAGTATTTTTCGATTTATTAACAGCTATGAAATGTATATATTGCTAATACTTTATGAAGTAAGCTGAAAATGAACGTAAATAAAGGTTTGGTTTTGGGTTTAATGGTTTGTTTTTGCCCGATTTGGCACTATCGCATCGACTTGGTTTCGAATCTGGGATCTCCCAGTTACGACACTACTACTAAACCATTGATCCACCGCGGTTGCTCCACAAAATCTGACGTAAATAAAAAAAATTTTTAAAGCGTATGATTTACCACAGACTTACGTGTTGTTCGGGGACGTGGAGGTGCTGTAAAAGGGCCGGGGGTAAAGAACTGCGTAGGAGGAGGGGTTGGTGGCAGGAACGTAAGAGGAGGGGTTGGTGGCAGGAACGTCATCGGTCTAATCGTCGTGTACCCAACGACGATGTCCATCATCGTTGCCATCGTCATCGTCATTAAAAGGCATTTCTTGGAGATGGCTCGTAACTTCATTATGTTCATTCTAAATGCAAGAAAAACATTAAATGCTTTGTTAAGATATATATTGAATACGTTTATTCATCGTTTATGATAAGATAGGGGATGACGATATTTGTAGTGATATTGATTATAACTATGATGATTATGATGATGATCATGATGATGAAGTAACTACTACAGCTAATATTATCAATGATAACGATAATAAGATAATGAGATTAAATATATGATTCTCAACACTATTTGCGTAATTTTTTTTACCACATAATTATGAGTGACCGATTTCACTGACCCTATCTAGTCCAGTTCCAGTACACGAACTTGTTATAGGGAATTTCACATAACAAATATTTAAAAAAGTGACTGTTTACTTTTTCACGTATTCTGATATTGAAATTAATATTCATCATTGTGGGAGTTATGAACAAAATCTATCCACAATATTTGGACATCAAGATAATGAAAGGAACCGAAATAACACAAATCAAAATATGAAAAAATAAACAAGCACCTTTCGTCAATTTTCATTTTAAATAAATATTGTTTTGTAATATAAAAAATGCCCCCCCCCTCCTCCAAAGTAAAAGAAAAATAATAAAAATTCTATCTTCGCCTTGAGCTTTGTGACATAAATTACAATTACATATGAGTTTTAAACTGTAGAGAAATAATAAAGCCAATATAATGAAAATGTGGACAAAACGTATTATACCAAATCGCGTGAATTGAGTTAAAATATTTAAATTGTCTTCACCTATACTAGGGAAAAGGGGGTATTCCCCCCCCCCCCTCGGAGACACCCCCCCCCCCCCCCTGTCCGCACAAGCGCAGAACGCGCCGCTGTCCCTCCGCTTCTGCCCGTCTTTCAAAGGGGGCCCTTTCCAAAATTTCTGGATCCGCGCCTGTCGCGGAGCATTTTGTAGTAATCTCTATCAAGCAACGCGTTCAGAGCTACCTCATAATATTTTAACACGGTCGCAAAGACTTTCGAGAATCAACTCAAATGTTATTAATTACCCTATTGTACGTCCCATATAAATCATGTTCGGATTACGTTTTACGTCATTATTTGTAATGGTCACACATTTCTAAAGGTGGCGTTATAAAGGGATAGTTGAGTTTTGTTGCAGAGGGCGCTACACAAAATAATTTTTTCGTGAGATACTGAAAAACAGAGTGTCAAGTTTGAAAGAACATAATATTTAAATGACAAAATCATCTTTGTTTGATCAAAATCGGTTCAGAGACGGGTGAAATATAACGATTTCTAATACTTGTGTACCACCACAAATATTAGATATTTTGAAAAATTAAAAAAAAACCGTTGAAAAAATAAATAACGCCCTTTTACGTCGTATTTCAGCCAATGCCGATGTTGGCTCTTTTGTTGGCATTTTCGTGTTGCTTATATTACCCACAATTAACCGGCTCATGTATTGTTATTTTATAATTAAATAATTAATTAACGGTCACCATGTTTTTTGGAAAGTGGAGCTGAATATTAAAATGATCGTATTGGTTAATTTCACACATTTTGGGGTCTAAAATTACCTTCATAGCAACTTTAGGTTCTAAAAGGGCACTATAAATGTCATATATAAGAATAAGAGCAATAACCATGCACTTTGAAGGCATTTGCGGTCTGAAAACAGAACTCAACTATCCCTTTAAATACAATGCTATATTTCCCGGAAGTAGATGTGAATATATTTCATGCGAATATCCGTAGGTGAGTCTGTATTGAAAGTACGTATATTATAAACATGGACAATACTACTACATAAAGCAAATTATTTGTTAATTTAACTTACTCAGTTATGAAGTTCAAAACGTTGGACTTGTAGCGCAGCTACAATACGAGTTGCTTACTGTCCGATATACACGTATTGGTTCCTCCAGAAATATGTAGACCTATTTTGTATGTCGTAATTACCTATTGTAGAAAAAACTGGATTTATCCACTACCAGCGAAAAGTTTCCGGACACTGTGACTGAACAATAACAATGAAAACGAAGCAGGGTCAAGGCTCTCTCTCTCTCTCTCGCTCCCACTCAAATTCTCGCCCGTGATAAACAGACCTTTATAAACGATGAATGACTCACTAATTGTGTGAATATGAAGGGAAAAAGCAATGAAATGTCATGAATAGATTTGGTTTGCCCTGAAAATCTGTCGATCAAATTGCACCGAATTCAAACGGCAATTAAAAAAGAAACTGTACCCTAATATGATTCAAATGATTATATTTCTCATGCAAAACATAATACAATGAATAATTATATTACAAAAATATGCAATGAACGACAAATATAGTATAAAAAGCACGAGAAAAGAGGAACCAACTGGAATCAGAGCTTGTTGAAGTGTTAGTTTCTCAGATGCTCTTTTACAACATAACATGAAAAAAGTATGCTTAGAAAATAAATAAATAGAAAATATATGTAGCGAAGAATTATAGATTTTTTTTTTTTTTTTTTTTTTTAGGGGGGGGGGGGGATAAAAGAGAGGAAAACGAAGGAAGATAGTAGAAGGCAAACAGAAAGAACGATACAGAACAAGGAAAATGAATGATTGCAAAAGCTCTAGAAAAAGGAGGTTAGATCAGTAGAAAGAGGGAGAAAGAGATCGAGTCGAGAGTCAAACAAACCGAGATTCATGTATATGTGTTTAAAAGTTTCATCTTTATCTTTTTTTGTTAATGTGTATAGACTGGTCCGTTGTTTTAGAGATGGATCTATGTTATTCCAAAATACTGGACCGGTATAAATGATGGTTTTGTTGTGCGAAAGCTGTTCTCATTCGAGGAGTGTGGAAGTGGTTCGACTGTATAGTGGGGTATGAATGTATCTCGTTATTTTTTTGAAAAATGGAGGAAATCGGTAGGGGTAACTCGTTATTAATTGCTCGGATACAAATTATAATGAGAGAGGGAAAATATAATTTGAGATAAGTCGTTGTGCTTTTATAAAAAATAATTGGAAAATAGTAAAATTACTAGAGTATGTGAAGGGCCACAGAAAAATCAACAGGTTAAATTAGAAGGGAATAAGGAGAAAAGCAAAAGCTGCACGAATAACCTCATTATAATACTTCAATCGTTGGTAAGAGGACATTTGTTGAATCAACACAGGGTGTAAATATCCGTAGTTATACCACCCTTTTCAAATATATAGTAAACAGGTACTAACTACAATGATACAACAAAAAAGCAGACATCAAAAAAATAACATTTATAATAATATCATAAATTTGATTTCTGGGAAGGCAAGATGCACATTTTGTTTTACTTGTCCTGTACTTGGCTTTTACAGCATAGCAAATACATGTATATTTAGATTTCAACGTGTATCCTTGCATAGTGAATGGTAATATATATATAGACATGTACATAGGAGTGATTGGGATTTTGTTAATAAATTGTATTAGATGCATACAATGTAGTAAATAAATCCCTCATGATAATAAAGAATGTAACCCTTATCTAGCACTAAACACCTTACACCTAGCACCTGCCAACTATCAACTAACACCTATTGCAATTATATAATTATACAAATAATAACACATAAAAAGTAATTGTTTGTATCTCTGTTTAATATAGACTGACACTGTTCGTAGCTCCATGAATGAATTTCCAAATTTGCATGATTATAACAGTGATATTTACACTGATGGAGTAATGTTCATGTATATACTTTAAAGATGCTTTCATGAAGTCATAAAACTTTTTTTTTTTATGAGAAAGCCATATTATGATTATTATTTTATACATGCATTTTGAAGATATATATTAATGTCACAGTTTATAAAATCTCACCTGTATACCTTTATGTTTTATGAAAGAAAGGACGAGAGACGTCAACTTTTGGGAGATTTCAGAAAGAGTCTGAAATGATAGATTGATAATTAATTATTTATTCTCTGGTTACCTTGCCTATTTCTTACCACGATTATTGCGTACGTTAGTCCAAAGGGTTTCGTCCATACTGCATATCCTATAACCGTATGTTCCGCTCAACAAAGTATAGGCAGTGGTGTCGTTAGAAATTACGTGTATGTGTGGTGTGTTTGTGTGTGAAAGGGGGTGGCACATCTACTTTTAAAATTGTGTTGTTAAATCTTGAAGAATACAACCCAGAGATCATACCGCAGTACTCGATCGGTGTCAGATTAAAGAAATATATACATGTATATAGAAGACATCAGATAAAGCAGTGGTGTGACAGGTATTTCAGCTGTTCTTTAGGTCCCAGTAACAAAGTGACACTTCATAAGGTGAACGACAACCACTTGAAACAAAAGTTTCTTCACATTCTTCGAGAGAGAGAGATTATCTCGAGCCGGCGCAATTTCGAGAAAAAACTAAGTAACCTTTGACGTTCTGTTTATTATGTTTATATCTAAAGCTACTGCAATTTGGAGCGAATTCTTAATGTTGGTCGTTCTGAATAATAGTTGTGATCCGTTGGTGTTGCTCTTGTTCTGGGTTTATTTCATCAACGTGTAAATCGTCTGAAAAATGTGGAGGCCCTACGAAAGAGTTAAAAGTCCACTGAAACGCCTATACCCACCTACTCTCCCCCATCTAGGAATCGAATATAACATCTTTGAGATGAGGGAGGAAACTGTCCAGAGTATTACACAATCTCTCTCGACTTGACTGGTGTAGGTGTTCCTTTTGATAGAGAAAAGAGGGTCCAATGAAAAAAAGGGGGGGGGGGTGTCTTACCCTATAGTTATGTACCCCAGTCATTGATAATTCAAATAAAAAACACTTGAGCAGCAATGAGGGGGGGGGGGGAGTTGCTTGATATAGTCAACCATCCACCCTTCAACCTTCATTGTCTCTCCTTACTCATTGGCCGGTGATTAGCGGAGATGTTATCTAGGCCCCTGAAATAGGGGGTACTATAATAGAGAGTACTGGCATAGCTGAAATACTTGTTTAATCATATCTCTATCAATAACATGCAAACCCATGCTAATGTACATTTATGTCAGAATGTAATCTCGTAACAAAGACACGCATTTCAACCTGTAGTCCAGACAAGCGCAACTGCAGATGAGCAAGCATTCGCATTGTGTTCAAACCAGTAGATACCAGCTGGAAATCCTTACTGGTTTCAACTGGTATCAACTGGAATTTCGACCTGGGTATATAGTTAGGCCGAACATTTCCACAAGTGAGTGAGGTATTCAGAAAGACCACTAAACGGAACTGGTCTTCTTGGTCTTATTGGAGCTTCCATTGCTGGTACTGGACCCAGCTGAGGTCATTTTCTTGCTCCACAACTTCCTGACCCTGGCATTAACACCGAATGAGAGAAATACCGAGATGCCTTGGAGACCATTGACCGTTATGAACAGGTACCAGAGGGCGGACGTTGTACCCAGGGCGGCTACCAAGCCGAACAACCAGCTGAATCCCATCAAACAAGATATCTATAAGAAGGAGGATAGTAAGAAGAAGAAGAAACAAGGAGAATATGACGTCATTTAATAAACATTTAGATAATGTAATTAACAAAAAACTTTAGGATACATAGTCAAGAACCAAATAAAGCCTACTTTTTCGAAGTCCAAATAAAAAAAAAACATGTTTAGCGTCCTGTTTTTTGAAAAAAATAGGAAGGAGGAGGCCCTTTTTTTTTCTTCAAAATGGCCGCTCGGTACATTTTCCCTGTCAGTCGGGCTATTTTCAAGATGGCTGCCGACATTTTTAAAAAAAAATTTGTGTAAATCAGAAAAAGATCCATTTTAGCAGTGTTTTTCATGTTTTTTTTCTTTAAAAAAAATAATTAAAAAAAAATAAAAATAGGAGGCGGCCCCCAAAAAAGAAGCAGGCGGGGACGCTAAACAAATAAACATGTTTATTTTTTACATGGCCTAAGGGATAAGTTTTATCCGAGTTGAATCAATTCGATAATTTGAGTGGGATCTGCTCAATATTAGTGATTGAATTATCGTTTTGAGAGTGGATCCCACCATTTTGAGCGATTATTTCTATTCCAAAGAAATTGTTCCCTAATTACGACCCTCCTCCAAAGAAAAAAGGGGGAAGGAAAGAAGAAATAATGAAAGGTGTATTTCCACTCGTGTATATTTTAAAACTCAAGTTGAGACTGGAACCTTTCAGCTGACCGAAGGACACACTGAAAGTTTGGTCTCACGGGCCTCTCAGGCAACCATATTTGGATTTTTTTTTGTTCTCGGGACCAAAGTTAGTCTAATAGAAACTAATTATTGGAAGAATTGTACACCTTTGAATGGATGAATAGGTTCGATGATGCACTTTCATTAATTTTCATTCACGTCTCATCAATTTATAGGTAAACAGGATGGACTCGGGTAATTTTATTTTCGTGAGTGAGTCTAAGGCCAGGGAAAGCTGTGGGTCAACGGGTGTTTCTGTTTGGTTATGCGAATTGTGGGTGGAGTTGCAAGTGGATGTGGAACAGTTTGGTGCAAAGGGACAAAATAATGATGTGAAGTAGAATCAATGGGTCTGACGCCCAGTAATATGTATGAATATGTACATGTAACTTAGATGGTCACACAAATCCATCAGCCGTTTGGAATAAAGCCCAAATATCCTATCATAAAGTGTGGCCCGGACCTGCAGGTGAAGCAGTTTCGGCTGTAAATGATTTATTACCTTGAAGTAGATGAGTAGCTCTGATAGTACATGCTTGTGTGATCTGTTCTGTTGAAGAGCGCCTCGGGTCATTTTCGTCGTCCTGCAAATGTTGACAACAGTGATGATAAAAAGAATGGCATTGGCAACCAACGACAATACAACTGGAACAATGAAGAATACGATGTTTGCAAGAACTGGATACACCCAGCAGTTTCTTCCTGATCCGTACTCGAGCGGGAGCACATCATTCTCAGTGAAATGCAATCCGAGAGCGACGATTACGAGAAGGAGAGGAACGCCCCATCCGACAAGCGAGTGGCGAGCGTAGCGTTTGAAACGACTGGTTGGATTACGATGTGAGCGGGTTTGAGTTACTCGGAAGCTTCGGCAAAGGTCAAAGGCAAGAAGAGTCATCCACGCAAAGGCACACAGAAGAGTGAAGTGAGCAAGAACTGCCCCACCCTGGCACAGAGCCATTGTGCGACGTGAGTAAGGACCGACATACTGCAGACAAATTTGGGATATCAGCAAGGATAACGCAAAGCTAAGTATAGCACATCCCTGGAAGTTGCGAAGTTCAGGGAACATCAAATAGGTCACGATCAATAATATGAGACAAAAGGTCGATATAGCAAACAGTACATGGCTATAGATCAGTTGAACGTTAACAGTCTTGGTCGTGGGACCTTCCTCTACTTCTTGTTCTAGTACAGTGGAAAAATTGTCTAGGGTGACGCAGATTCTGATAGAGTTGTTGGACACGTATTCAAACGATTCATTTTTGTATACGGTTTCATTGTAGACGACAAACGTCAAGTTTCCGACATCTTTCAAGGAATATTTTTCATCTGATAGGACGACAGCACAGTTGAGCATAGCCTTTCGTGCACCACACACTCTAAACTCTCGCGTTTTATTTTGACGACTTGAATCGTACGACTCAACGACGTCATATGTCGATCTGTCATTCCACCAAGTTGGTATGATGTAAGATCCATTGAAAAAGAGAAGGAATGATCCATTTTGCCAGACTGGTGTGAAAGCATCCGGTTGACCAAAGAACCACTCTTCCGTACAGTCCCTTGAGGTAAGCGACGTTGAGATAGAGTCATTGCGATCTCCTTCAAGTGAACAGGTTACCCCGAATTCGATAAAATCCGCACATCGGCTGCTCGAGAGGTTATCAAGTTCACCCTCCAGGACGTTTGCGATGTCATTCTGCAGAAAACGTGCGTTCGTAACATTGACATTGGCCCACCACTTAACCGTAGCAACAGGGTAATTGAGAGCAATTGTCATGTTACCATTGGCAGTTGTTCCCAGGTAATCACGGATCGTAAGAACAGCATTCAGACAGGAGTCGTACCCATCCACACTGAATCTATTCATCACCTGCAGTGTTGTAGCATGGCATTCTGGCCAGGGCGGGTCGTTCTCTGGTAATCTGCAAGGGGTTGAGATCTGATCGAAACCATGAGGGCACTCGATGACGAGTTTAGTTCGAGGGGAATACTGTGGGGTCGTCGTCGTAAGGTATGGATTCAGATCAAAAGGCGCCGCCACTCCTTGTGTTACTAAATAAAATTCTGCATTTGTAGAAAAGAAATAATAAAAACAATTCTTTGAAGCCTCATCAGCAACGATGCTGTTTTTCCTGAGGGCCCTACAATTATTATTACCCTAGCAATTGCCAGGTAGGCCCACTCATTTACACCGGGCACCTGGATGGAGAGTGGAAATGTGGATTAATGCCTTACCAACAGTTAGTACTGGGATGGGATTCGAACCCACAACCCTTGGATTGACATCTCCACCTGTTTTGGCGGACAGGGACTCCCGATTCCTTGTCATATGTTCCTAATTGAGGGAGCTTGCTATAAGAATAGGGACTGAGAGGGGAAGCATGAAGTCAACCATTCCTTAAACGACAATAATATTAGCTACGCCCGTGCTTTATAGGCAAATGTTTCCAAGGGAACCCATCAACTGTAATTCAAATCACCAATTATAAATCAATATTATAGTATGTATTTTATGCATATTTGGCATAGCTGGGTATCATCATTATCCTTCTTCTTGTAAGAAACCGATAATGCAAGATGTGGACGAGATGCAGAGATGTATAACGATGATTTTTTTTTCTTTCGAACCTGGGATCTCCTAGTTACGACACCACTGCTTAACCACTGAGCCATCGCTCTTGCTCCACGAAATCTAACGTAGAAAATAATTTTAGAAAAAGTGTATGGTTCATCAAAAACTTACGTGTTGTGAGGTGACGTGGAGGTGGAGTAAAAACGCCGTGGGTAAAGAACTGCGTAGGGGAGGGATGGGTTGGTGGAAGGAACGTCATCGGTCTCATCGTCGTGTCACCAACGACGATGTCAATCATCATTGCCATCGTCATCGTCATGAAAAGGCATTTCTTGGAGATAGCTCGTGAATTCATCATGTTCATACTAGTGTGGTCATTCTAAATTTAAGACAAAAATTATATGTATTATATAGGATATATATATGGAATAAGTTTATCGTGCATTGATGATAATATAGGTGATGTTGATGTTAATAGTGATAATGATGACGATTATTCAATTTCAATTTTATTCATCTCTTTAAAAACACATTAGAAGATATATACAAACAAATCGGTATAAATTAAACAATATAAATATAACAACATTCATTGACATGGTACTATGAAAAAAGGATGAAGTGTGGTGGATGCGAGGGATCAGCAAAGACCATTGGCCTGTCAAGGCTGATCTCTTTATATTACCACCCTTCAAGAGAAATACAATATATAAAATTATTTAAAAAAATGATTTATATAACGTAGCATAATCATATATAACACAACATTAATATTTACATAAATCACATAAAAGGCAATTAGATCAAATAAAACTACTCACTATTAAGAGGATAAAATGTATATGTTTTCCTGAATACGAAAACAGTTGATATTTCTTTTAGTACTTCTGGCAACCCATTCCAAAGCTATGGGCCTTTAAAATTTACCGTGGTTCTTGAAAAGAAAAATTATAAAAAGTTTCATACATTTTATTGGAATTTCTTGTTTTATACTTATTGATGTTGCTATTGTATTCAAAATAGTCATGAAAGTTATTGGGTAATAATTGTTTAGAATAAGAAAACATAAATGATGCTAGTTGTAATTTATTTATATAAAATAATATCCAATATTTTTAACTTGTTAAATAATTGATGGGTATGTGCTAAATAGTTTGATTTGGTAATCGCTCGTATAGCACGTTTCTGTAGTAAAAACAATTTATGTGATAAATAACTGCCCCCATTCCATATTAGAATACATAAGATGTGATTATATCATACAGTTATACAAATTTGTTAAAATCTTCAGTGGTAAAATTTGTTTCAAAATATTTTAACACTCCAATGGATTTAGATATTTTTAAAGCAATGTAATTTACATGTTCCTTCCAGTTCAAGTTTTCGTCGATGATTACGCCAAGAAATTTAGTCCTGGTTTCTCTCTTTATACGCAGATCATTAAGTTCAATATTTATTTCATTATCTTGTATTCTACAATTCCTACTCTTAAAGATCATATAACATGTTTTACCGTGAATCATGTAGAGTTTATTGGCTGTAAAACAAGTTTGTATGTTTTTCATTTCTGATTTGAATAGATCATTTAATGCAACTGGGTCTTTACCTGATAAAAATAAACCTGTGTCATCTGCAAATAGAATTACTGATAAAATATTGATGACATATTACAGATCATGAATATAAAGTAAAAATAAAAGTGGCCCGAGATTAGATCCCTGAGGTACACCTCCTGAAACTTTTATATTCTGAATTAAAATTATCAAAGCTTATATATTGCTTCCTATTGCACAAATAACTTTCGAACCACTGTATTGCATTTCCCCCTTATTCCATAATATTTCAGTTTATTTAGTAAAATTGAATGGTTAATACAGTCAAACGCCTTTTACAAGGTTAAAGAGAGAGCTATCACTATGTGTTTCTTTTCAAAGGCTTTGGCAATTGTAACTGTTAATTCAATCAATGCATGGGTAGTACCGTATCCTTTTCTAACGCCAAATTGTTTATTGAGCAATATATATTTTTTAAAATAAAAGATATTAATTTATCATAAACAATTTTTTTTTCAATTTGACTAAATATTGACAAAATAGAAATTGGTCTATAATTATTCAACATATTTGTAATGCCATTATTATATATTGCATTAGGAAATATGCCTCTTTCAAGAGAAGAATTAAATAAATTGCACAAAGGAGACACAAGTGCATTAATAGAAGATTTAACAATTTTAGCACTAATTTAGTCGTAACCAGGACATTACTTACATCAAAATTTGATATAATATTAAGTTTAGTAGATTCTGTAATTGGGCTGAAAAATAAAGACTCACAAACAGATCCCTGTAAAAAAAACTAAAAAACTGTCAAATGATGTAGTTACTGCACTATCCAACTTATCATGAATTTCCTGTCCAACTGTACTAAAGTAATCATTGAATAAATTTACAATTTGAGATTTATCCTTTATAGATTTACCTTCATATTTAATTTCATTAACATCATGCTTACTTTTTCTTTTGTTTAAAACTTTATAACATTTCATGTTTTCTTTGTATTGTTCATGACATCCTTAAATTTATAATCATGATGTTTACTTTTTGTATCACGTATTAAGTTATTAAATATATTTCTAAAATTTACATATTAATTCGTTTTGCTATATGTCATAGGATTTTTAAGATATTTTTTGTATAATATATATTTATGTTTACTCACTTTCTTAATTTCTGTTGTAATCCAAGGTTCAACATTTGCACGTTTCTTCCTTTTCATCTCTACCTTTTGGAAACATTCGTTATACAATTTGACATATATTTCAAGAAATCGTCGCTGTTTTCACGAAGTGACGGTAGTGAAAAAAAATTGCATTCACTTTGCGTTACGATTTTCCTCACTACCGTCACTTCGTGAAAACAAGGACGAAATTGTTCATACTTCTGATTAACATCATCAAGACGATCTAAAAAATTCCCACTTCACAGACTGTAATTTTAAACAAAATGTATTAATGTGAACATCACTGAAGTCTCGTTTTGAGTATACTATTTGAGGATCATTTGTATGATGATAATATTACTGGTAACTATTTCAACTACTATTTTATATGATTATAATAATAAGATATGGAGATACATGGTAAACTTTTAAATATATGATTCTCAATTTTGTTTCGTAAACTTTACCAAATTAATTCTGAGAAACTGATTTAACTGACCCTCTCTAGTCAATTCCAATACTTAAACTAAAATATATAAAGCGGAATTTCACATAAAAAGTATGACAAAAAGTGACTGTTTACTTTTTCATGTAGTTTTCATATTTAGATTAATTTTCATCATTGTGGGAATTATGAGGAATATTAATCCACGATATTTGGGCATCAAGATCAATTAAGGAACCAAAATAACAAAGATCAAAATATTTATGAAAAAAACGAAAACAAGCACCATGCGACTATTTTTTTAAATGAATGGTGTATTTTTACTGAACTAATTTATATTGAACTATTTAAAGCAGTTCATGCACAATTCCAATCAACATTTCTTTTACTACCCCCCCCCCCCCCCCTCTCAAATAAACAAACAAAACAATAAAATGCTATCTTCACCTTGAGCTTCGTAGCGTGAATTTCAAACTCTATTATGCAGCATGCGTCACTTTCTTTTTAAGGATCATAAGACATTTTTTTGTTTTACCTTGTACTTTTGTTTAACTCTTATTAAATACTACTAACATGACCGTAAACAATTTTAATGCACAAGCCAAAGGCAAAGGCAATACCCTTTAAAATTCGTGTCCTGGTTAAGTATCATATTGTGATGTTTGTGCATTTTTTTAAAGTGACATACAAGACTATTGAAATTGATCTTAGGTTGTTTTTTAAGAAGTTCCGATCGAGTTTACAGCCAAAGTTGAAAAAAATGATGTTTTATTCTCAATCATTGAATTTTGTACATTACAATTTTAGCTAAGAATAATTAGGATTAAGATAAGAAAGTAGAATAAAAGAGTATAGGCGCCTATTTGTGATCGTCTAAACAGAATGCAAATTGTTTTCCACCCAATTTCTATGCAGTTAGCATGATGGCAAAGACTATCGAAAGTTTAATGGAATGGTAACTTATGGCCTATTGTATATTCCGTGGCAATCATTTCGGATTACGTAATATATCGTTTTTATGTGCATACATTCCATTAGGTGATGACGTTAGGTTTGTTTTTTTTTCGAACGTATTTGCGATCGTGCTATATTTTATTGTTGATGGCTTACCAGCAACAGCTGATAGATTTAAGTAGCTTATACTCTAAATAAGACTGCATGTTCATTAATGCATGTTGACCTTTTGAATCTGCATTATGTGTTTTTAGATTCGTTGGTTTCCTTCTGCCTATACTTTTGATCACCGAACATAATTGACAAGTGTTTAATTTTAAAACATTGTGTATACCCTAGGTTATGGGCTGTGGAATTGAGAATTTGGTGTCGGGTAATAGTGATATAATATTACTGTGACAACGGTAATTTAATTATGGGGTAACAAGTATCTTGCTTCACATAGCATCAATTTCTTCTTAAATATCACCCTTATTCGTGCAAAAACAACAAAGGGAAATATGCAATAAGGACAGCTCGCTTGTTTTTAAGAACATATTACACCACATACTACACATTAATGAAGCCATAAACTCTCTGTTTTTAAAAACTGGACAATACTGAGAAGTGCGCGATGGGTTGGATTCAATAGTCATATCTTAAATTCAATTCAACAAAATCTTTCAAACTTAATGTAGTATGGTTTGATGTTTGAACTTAACTAGTTGATGGTAGATAACTAAACAGAATCGAATATAATTTGCTGAGGAGATGAGGATATAATTATTTGAATATCATGCACTATTATGCTTTATCTAATACACGGTCGGGTTTGTGGAGCTAAACATGAATACAAAGTGATTGTTGTGACAGTTGCACTTAATTAAGTTATCCCCCAAGTCATTTGTTTTTGTATTATTGATGCATGACATGAACACATATATTTGTAATAGCACTTCCTCAGGCAAGGTGCCTAATATAGCGCCACCTATTGATAACCACTTGATATCAAACTCTCAGAAGGCTACATTAACATGGTTGTGCTGAGGTCCAAGAATCCCCTTTTTGACAGAGCATCATGGGGATTTCAGTCTTAAGATTGTCATTATGTCAGGCAAAGAGGTTAGTTTTGTTGTATATTGAATCTATTTTTATGAATTGTTGAAACATAAAGTGTAAATTAGTGTATGTATTTTGTACTTCATACTGAGAGATGTTGATGTTAGTATGTAGTGTAAGACATGCAAGCCCATGCTGGTTTAATATGTACATTTGATTTGATATGAAGAACAATGATGACAGTAAAGATGCTTTAAATAATGTGAAGATATTGTGAAATACTTTGAAGAATATTATGAGAGTGCTGAAGCACTAAGTAGAGATTCAGAATTTATAATTGTTTAGTTAATTGTTTAAACATGCTATAGTGAAGTCTAGTTGTGAAACTTGTAGTGTGAGTTTGTATTTATGTAAAGCCATTTATTGCAGATGGACTAGAATAGTGACTGGGGTTATTTTAATAAGTTGTAAAGATCATGACACAATGTACATTATTTTATGACTTTCTCAAAGAGACTGTTTATTGCTATATTGATGATGCTATGATATACTTATATTTATTATTCTTTATCTGTGATTTATCAACAGTTTTCACGGAATTTACTGGAACGAAAATGACTCCAATTAAAGCTACAAATTCCCGTAGAAGCCTTTGTTTTGACTATTTATTTGAAATCGACCTCGCTGCAGCCACAGTGATGACTATATATTTAAAAAAAAAAAACAATAATAACTACGTTAGCGAGCTTTCTTTATCAAAATTTAAGTGCTACGTAATTTATGTGCTCCCGTCCATAGTCACCGGGTCTGTCACTTTGATCCGCCAATAGAGACCGAGCAAATAAGGACCTTTAGATTTGCACGTCGACATAGTGGACTGCTACGTGTCATGTCCTTTTAAGGCACTGGCAGTGCCTTAAAAGGACATCACCGTGCCTTAAAAGGACATCACCGTGCCTTAAAAGGACATCACCGTGCCTTAAAAGGACATGATACGTAGCAGTCCGCTATGTCGACGTGCAAATCTAAAGGTCCTTATTTGCTCGGGTTTTTTTTTTTTGCTCCAGTGAAATATGCTGTGGTCTTAAGAGGATTGGATTATGAGTGGGTTTAGGTTTAGGTTTAGGTTAAAGAATACGGTTAGGATTATAACTTAGGATTCTGTATATAGTGTTCAGTCCAAGGTTGAAGATTAATAGGGAATTCCAGGACCATACTAGGCCTCCTACAGGAATCTGTCGTCTCGGAGCATTTGTTGTAATCACTTTCAAGCAGATTAGCGGTTTTAAACTCACAACTCCCTGGTCATAGCTACCTAAAAATATCTTAACACGGTCGCAAAGACTTTCGAGAAATCAACTCAAGGGTTATTTCATTACCCTATTGTACGTTCCATAGAAATCATGTTCAGATTATGTATTATGACATTGTACATTCCAAAAAGGTTGCGTACAAGGCAAAAGGTTTATTTCTCGAGTTGTTTTGATTGTATTTCATGTGAATATCGGGAGGCAAGTCCGTATGGACAGTACGTATAGTGCATGTATAAACATGGACAAGTCTACATGAAAAAGTAAAAGTTATTGGTAAATTAAACTTACCCAGTAATGAACTTCAAAGCGTTAGACTTGTAGCGCAGCTGCATCGAATTGATCATACTGTCCAATATACACGTAATGGTCTCACCCTGATCTACATGTAGACCTATTATGTAAGTCGTAAATATCTTTCGAAGAAATAACAGAATTGATATACTATAGACTACCAGTGAAAGTTCCGACCAAGGTTATTTAACATTTACAATAAAAATAGATCAAGGTTCTGACATCTATGGCAAGCATTAAGGGAAACAAATAAATATATGCAACACTTTAAAAAAATGTATTTCACTCAAATGTATATATTCAACACTTTCAGAAAATATTTAACAAGTTTTATTTGACAACACATTTTATTTGGCATATCTTATTTGACAATCTATTCGACAAAAAATGTATTTGTCAACAATTGTATTCGACATCAATTTTATATTCGGCATAGGCCTACATTTAATTCGACAAAAATTTTATTTTACAAAATTTCTTTTTTTTTAAATGTTATTCGACAAAATATTTATTCAACATAATTATTTCTTACTTTTAATTGAAGAAAAAAAGGTACAATTCATAATTATTTTTTTAAACCTTCAAATCAAGTAGGTAATACATATTTCCCCTTAACCCCCCCCCCCCCCTATACAAATAGGGGTCGTTATTCATAGGGCTTCCTATTCATAATACATGAATAGGGTCGCTAATTATAATGCGAAAAGATTGAAGATAAATAGCGACCCCGATTTCGAATTATGAATAGCGGTCCTTCACGTATAGGAAGTTCCACTTTCATTATGAATAGTGGTCCACATGACTAGCGAGGTTGTTTGAGGGTGTTGAGAAGAGGTTGGACATAATCATGTAGAATGTATGGTTGGGGCGTGGTGTGGGTGGGGGGGGGGGGTCAAGAGGATATAAATGAGTGTAAATTACCTACTTTGTTTTAAAGGGATCCGGTAACTTTGTCTTAGATCCTTTAAAAATAATCCTTGATTTAGCTCATGCTGCGATGATAATTATAAACCTTTAGGTCAGTCAGGAACAAACACTGCAGTTTATTGGGGAAAATGAGTATGGTAAAACCGGTCACTCAAAGACTTTTACTTTTTTGAGGCACTTCTTGATCATTTTGAATCGCGATTTTTTTTTAGGGCTTCAATATTACACCATATCACAGACACTGGTAACATGTAGGACCTTGTATCTCAGATTTAACATTGTTAAACGATCCCTTTAAAGGGATTCGGTAACTTTGTCTCAGATTCTGAAACAAAATCCTGGATTTAGCTCATGCTGCAATGATAATTATAAACCTTTAGGTCAGCCAGGAACTCCATGACTTTTACAAGCCAATTATGAAGATATTTATGATTGGAATAACAAATTTTGAAAACCGTTTGCCAAACGGTTTTCATAACACTACAGTTTATTGGGGAAAACGAGTATGGTAAAACCGGTCACTCAAAGACTTTTACTTTTTTGAGGCACTTCTTGATCCTTTTAAAGCGCGATTTTTTTTTAGGGCTTCAATATTACACCATATCACAGTCACTGATAACACGTAGGGCCGTGCATCTCAGATTTAACATTGTTAAACGATCCCTTTAATGGGTTAGTTATGAACATTGGGTAGGGTTGTTTGAGGGTGATGAGAAGAGGGAGGGAATAGTCATGCGGGTAACCTCGTCTTCGTTCTTATTCGAGCTTATTCTTCTCCCGCGGCCCTCTTCGTCAAAAGTAGCCATTTTTTAAAAACTCTCTTCGTATCATTCTTCAAACGTTTTACCACAAGTGAGGGAGCCTTCGGAAAGACCACTAAACCAGAGGCGGCCCTCCCGGGGGGGGGGGCAGGGGGGCATAGTGCCCCCCACACTTTTTCAGATACCCCAAAAGTGCCCCTTTTTACATAGGAAAAGTGCCCCTTTTATTTTATAAAAAGTGCCCCTTTTACATAGGAATAGTACCCCTTTTACTTTGACAAGTGCCCCTATTACTTAGTAAAAGTGCCCCTTCCCCTCTTTTTACCTCTGACGAGTGCCCTTTTTATTTTTGACACATGCCCCTTTTCCTTCGACATGTTCCCATTTTCCTTTGCAATAAGTGTCCATTTTCCATTCTCATCAATCTTGAAATTATCTTGAATAAGTGCCCTTTTTAATCTCTAGTAAGTACCTCTTTTCAGGTACGAGAAGTGCCCCTTTTCACTTTTTATAAGTGCCCCCTTCATCTCTGATAATTACCCTATTTAAAACTGATAGGTGCTCCTTTTACTTTGACAACTGCCCCTTTTTTCCTTTGTAAGAAGTGCCCCTTCTTTTAATAACTACCCCTTTTTTAAACTCGGATGAGCACACCTTTCATTTTAACATGTGCCCCTTTTATTTTCTAATAAGTGCCCCTTTTCCGTATGATAAGTGCCCCCATTAAAAAGAGAGAGAGAGCTCCTTCTTCTTCTCATAACTACCCCTTTCCCTTTCTAATAAGTGCCCCTTTTCCTTATGATAAGTGCCCCCAATAAAAAGAAATAGCTCCTTCCCCTTCTCATAACTGCCCCTTTTAAAAATCTGAACGGTGCCCCCTTTTCATTCAACAAATGCATATTTTCCTTTATTATAAGTGACCCTTTTACATTTTCATAAGTGACCCTTTTCGTATCTGGTCAGTGCCCCTTTTCACCTCTGATAATTCCCCTTTTAATAATGATACGTGCCCCTTTTCCTTTCTTATAAGAGACCTATCCCCTTTTCACCTCTTATAAATGCCCCTATCAAAATCTGATGGGTGCCCCTTTTTCATCAACAAATGCCTATTTCCCATTTTCGTAAACGCCTCTTTTTCACCACTGGTGAGTGCCTCTTTTCAGGTAAAAAAATGCCTCAATTTTCACCTCTTATAATTATCCTTTGTACTTTGACACGTGCTCCTTTTCTTTTCTGATAAGTGTCTTATCCCATTCGATAATTGTCCCTTTTTCATGTAATCATTAAACGTGCCCCTTATTTAAAGCAACTAAGAGCAATTTCCCCCAAAGTTCGCTCGCTGCGCTCGCTCGCATTTAAAGAGGATATAATTATGTTATTTATCAAAGGTCTTTTCAGTCTTCCGTTATGAGAATGTGCTTATCATCACGATTGGCTTTTTTCTTCTTTATAAGATGTAATTTTTCGCACTGCGACCTAACAGATCTTTATTTTTTTTCTCACTCAATTCACTCGCTCGTAAATGCATATTCAGACATCACACACAACTGTAAAGTATGATGCTTAAGCGATATCTTGTATGATGTATGAAGAGAAACAAATATTGAAATCATCCCTGATAATTTAATCACAATGTAGAGGTATATATATATATTTTCGCTTTGAGATTTCCCACTGTAGGTGCCCTTTTTTTCTTCAGAAAGTGCCCTTTTTTGTTGGTGCCCCCCCCCCCCCCACTTTGGAAGTCGCTCGGCCGCCCCTGCACTAAACGGAACTGGTCGTCTTGGTCGTATTGGAGCTTCCACTACTGGCACTGGAACCTGCTGAGGTCATTTTCTTGCTCCACAACTTCCTGACCCTGGCATTAACGCCGAACGAGAGAAATACCGAGATGCCTTGGAGACCATTGACCGTTATGAACAGGTACCAGAGGGCGGACGTTGTGCCCAGGGCGGCTACCAAGCCGAACAACCAGCTGAATCCCATCAAACAAGATATCTATAAGAAGGAGGAGAAGAAGAAGAAGAAGAAGAAGAAAAAGGAGAATATGACGTCATTTAAAAAAACATTAGTCTACAAAGTCAAGAACCAAATAAAGCCTACTTTTTCGGAATCATATAAGGGATAATTTCATCTGAGTTTAATCCATTCTGGGATCCACTCAATATAAGTGATTGAATTATCGTTTTGAGAGTGGATCCCACCATTTTGAGCGATTATTTCTATTCCAAAGAAAGTGTTCCCTAATCATGACCCTCCTCCGCAAAAAACGGGGGGGGGGGGGGAGGAAAGAAGAAAAATGAGAGGTGTATTTCCACCCGTGCACATTTTAAAACTCAAGTTGAGACTGGAACCTTTCTGCTGACAGAAGGACACACTAAAAGTTTGGTCTCACGGGCCTCTCAGGCAAGTATGTATTTGGATGTTCTGTTCTCGAGACCAAAGTTAGTCTAGTAGAAACTAATCATTGGAAGAATAATTGTACACCTATGAATGGATGAATTGGTTCGATGATGCACTTTCAATATTTTTCATTCACTTCTTATTAATTTATAAATTAACAGGGTGGACTCGGATTTAAAAAAAATTGTGAGTGGGTCTAAGTGTGGCCAGCCAGGAAAACATGTGGATCATGCGAATTTTGGGTGGATTTTCAAGGGAGCAGTAATGATGTGAAGCATGTTCAATGGGTCTGACACCCAGTGATATGTTTGACTATGTACATGTAACTTAGATGGTCACACAAATCCATCAGCCCTTATGAATAGAGTTATGAATAAATACCAAATCTCCTATCATAAAGTATGGCCTAGGCTTGCAGGTGATGCAGTTTCGATTGTAAATGATTTATTACCTTGAAGTAGATGAGTAGCTCTGATATTACATGCTTGTGTGATCTGTTCTTTTGAAGAGCGCCTCGGGTCATTTTCGTCGTCCTGCAAATGTTGACAACAGTGATGATAAAGAGAATGACATTGGCAACCAACGACAACACAACTGGACCAATAAAGAATACGATGTTTGCAAGAACTGGATACACCCAGCAGTTTCTTCCCGATCCGTACTCGAGCGGGAGCACATCATTCTCAGTGAAATGCAATCCGAGAGCGACGATTACGAGAAGGAGAGGTACGCCCCATCCGACAAGCGAGTGACGAGCGTAGCGTTTGAGACGACTGGCTGGATCACGATGTGAGCGGGTTTGAGTTACGCGGAAGCTTCGGCAAAGGTCAAAGGCAAGAAGAGTCATCCACGCAAAGGCACACAGAAGAGAGAAGTGTGCAAGAACTGCCACACCCTGACACAGAGCTATTGTGCGACGTGCGTAAGGAGCGACATACTGCAGACAAATTTGGGATATCAGCAAGGATAACGCAAAGCTCAGTATGGCACATCCCTGGAAGTTGCGAAGTTCAGGAAACATCAAATAGGTCACGATCAATAATATGAGACACAATGTCGATATAGCAAACAGTACATGGCTATAGATTAGTTGAACATTAACAGTTTTTGTCGTGGGACCTTCTTCTACTTTTCCTTCTTGTTCTAGTACAGTGGAAAAGTTGTTATGGGTGACGCAGATTCTGATAGAGTTGTTGGACACGTAATCAAACAATTCATCTTCGTATTCGGTTTCATTGTAGACGACAAACGTCGAGTTTCCGACATCTTTCAAGTAATATTTTTCATCTGATAGGACGACGGCACAGTTGAGCATAACCTTCCGTGCACCACACACTCTAAACTCTCGCGTTTTATCTTGACGTCTTAAGTCGTTTAAATACGACTCAACAACGTCATAAGTCGTTCGTTCATTCCACCAAGTTGGTATGATGTAAGATCCATTGAAAAAGAGAAGGAAGGATCCATTGTGCCAGACTGGTGTGAAAGCATCCGGTTGACCAATGAACCACTCTTCGTCTAATTCCCTCGATGAAAGCGGAGTTGAGATAGAGTCATTACGATCTCCTTCAAGTGAACAGGTTACCCCGAATTCAATGAAATCCGCACATCGGCTGCTCGAGAGGTTATTAAGCTCACCCTCCAGGACGTTTTCGATGTCATTCTGCAGAAGACGTGCGTTCGTAACATTGATCATGGCCCACCACTCAACCGTAGCAACGGGGTACTTGAGAGCCGTTGTTTCGTTACCATTGACAGATGGTCCCAGGTAATCACGGATCGTAGAAACAGCATCCAGGCAAGAGTCGTACCCATCGAAACTGAATCTATGCATCGCCTGCAGAGTTGTAGCATGGCATTCTGGCCAGGGCGGGTCGTTTTCTGGTAATCTGCAAGGGGTTAAGATCTCCTCGAAGCCATGAGGGCACTCGATGACGAGTTTAGTTCGAGGGGAATACAGTGGGGTCATCGTCGTACGGTATGGATTCAGATCAAAAGGCGCCGCCACTCCTTGTGTTCCTACAATATATTCTACATTTGTAGAAAAGAAATATAATAAAAACAACTCTTTACTTTTATTTATTGCCACTGCTCGTTTTGCAGAGCTACGGAATAAACAATAATGTACTTCGCCCTGGGAAGCCTCATCAGCAATGTTGCTGTTTTTCCTGAGGGCGCTACAATTAATATTACCCTAGCAATTGCCATGTAGGCCCACTCATTTACACCTGGGTGGAGAGTGACAATGTGGATTAATGCCTTACCAAAAGTAAGTACTGGGATGGGATTTGAACCCCGACCCTTGGATTGAGACATCTCCACCTGTTTTGGCGGACAGGGACTCCCGATTCCTTGTCATATGTTCCTAATTGAGGGAGCTTGCTATAAGAATAGGGACTGGGAGGGGAAGCATGAAGTCAACCATTCCTTATACAACAATAATATTAGCTACGCCTGTGCTAAAATGTTTTCAAGGGAACCCATCAACTGTAATTCAAATCACCAATTATGAATCAATATTATCGTATGTATTTTATGCATATTTGGCATAGCTGGGTATCATCATTATCCTTCTTCTTGTAAGAAACCGATAATGCAAGATGTGGACGAGATGCAGAGATGTATAACGATGATTTTTTTTTCTTTCGAACCTGGGATCTCCTAGTTAAGACACCACTGCTAAACCACTGAGCCATCGCCTTTGCTCCACGAAATCTAACGTAGAAAATAATTTTAGAAATAGTGTATGGTTCATCAAAAACTTACGTGTTGTGAGGTGACGTGGAGGTGGAGTAAAAACGCCGTGGGTAAAGAACTGCGTAGGGGAGGGATGGGTTGGTGGAAGGAACGTCATCGGTCTCATCGTCGTGTCACCAACGACGATGTCAATCATCATTGCCATCGTCATCGTCATGAAAAGGCATTTCTTGGAGATAGCTCGTGAATTCATCATGTTCATACTAGTGTGGTCATTCTAAATTTAAGACAAAAATTATATGTATTATATAGGATATATATATGGAATAAGTTTATCGTGCATTGATGATAATATAGGTGATGTTGATGTTAATAGTGATAATGATGACGATTATTCAATTTCAATTTTATTCATCTCTTTAAAAACACATTAGAAGATATATACAAACAAATCGGTATAAATTAAACAATATAAATATAACAACATTCATTGACATGGTACTATGAAAGAAGGATGAAGTGTGGTGGATACGAGGGATCAGCAAAGGCCATTGGCCTGTCAAGGCTGATCTCTTTATATTACCACCCTTCAAGAGAAATACAATATATACAATTATTTTAAAAAATGATTTATATAACGTAGCATAATCATATATAACACAACATTAATATTTACATAAATCACATAAAAGGCAATTAGATCAAATAAAACTACTCACTATTAAGAGGATAAAATGTATATGATTTCCTGAATACGAAACAGTTGATATTTCTTTTAGTACTTCTGGCAACCCATTCCAAAGCTATGGGCCTTTAAAATTTACCGTGGTTCTTGAAAAGAAAAATTATAAAAAGTTTCATACATTTTATTGGAATTTCTTGTTTTATACTTATTGATGTTGCTATTGTATTCAAAATAGTCATGAAAGTTATTGGGTAATAATTGTTTAGAATAAGAAAACGTAAATGATGCTAGTTGTAATTTTTATTTATATAAAATAATATCCAATATTTTTAACTTGTTAAATAATTGATGGGTATGTGCTAAATAGTTTGATTTGGTAATCGCTCGTATAGCACGTTTCTGTAGTAAAAACAATTTATGTGATAAATAACATGAACAACTGCCCCCATTCCATATTAGAATACATAAGATGTGATTATATCATACAGTTATACAAATTTGTTAAAATCTTCAGTGGTAAAATTTGTTTCAAAATATTTTAACACTCCAATGGATTTAGATATTTTTAAAGCAATGTAATTTACATGTTCCTTCCAGTTCAAGTTTTGGTCTATGATTACGCCAAGAAATTTAGTCCTGGTTTCTCTCTTTATACGCAGATCATTAAGTTCAATATTTATTTCATTATCTTGTATTCTACAATTCCTACTCTTAAAGATCATATAACATGTTTTATCGCGATTCATGTAGAGTTTATTGGCTGTAAACCAAGTTTGTATGTTTTTCATTTCTGATTTGAACAGATCATTTAATGCAACTGGGTCTTTACCTGATAAAAATAAACTTGTGTCATTTGCAAGTAGAATTACTGATAATATATTGCTGACATATTACAGATCATGAATATAAAGTAAAAATTAAAGTGACCCGAGATTAGATCCCTGAGGTACACCTCCTGAAACTTTTATATTCTGAATTAAAATTATCAAAGCTTATATATTGCTTCCTATTGCACAAATAATTTTCGAACCACTGTATTGCATTTCCCCCTTATTCCATAATATTTCAGTTTGTTTAGTAAAATTGAATGGTTAATACAGTCAAACGCCTTTTACAAGGTTAAAGAGAGAGCTATTACTATGTGTTTCTTTTTAAAGGCTTTGGCAATTGTATCTTTTAATTCAATCAATGCATGGGCAGTACCGTATCCTTTTCTAACGCCAAATTGTTTATTGAGCAATATATTTTTTTTTAAATAAAAGATATTAATTTATCATAAACAATTTTTTTTTCAATTTGACTAAATATTGACAAAATAGAAATTGGTCTATAATTATTCAACATATTTGTAATGCCATTCTTATATATTGCATTAGGAAATATGCCTCTTTCAAGAGAAGAATTAAATAAATTGCACAAAGGAGACACAAGTGCATTAATAGAAGATTTAACAATTTTAGCACTAATTTAGTCGTAACCAGGACATTACTTACATCAAAATTTGATATAATATTAAGTTTAGTAGATTCTGTAATTGGGCTGAAAAATAAAGACTCACAAACAGATCCCTGTAAAAAAAACTAAAAAACTGTCAAATGATGTAGTTACTGCACTATCCAACTTATCATGAATTTCCTGTCCAACTGTACTAAAGTAATCATTGAATAAATTTACAATTTGAGATTTATCCTTTATAGATTTACCTTCATATTTAATTTCATTAACATCATGCTTACTTTTTCTTTTGTTTAAAACTTTATAACATTTCATGTTTTCTTTGTATTGTTCATGACATCCTTAAATTTATAATCATGATGTTTACGTTTTGTATCACGTATTAAGTTATTAAATATATTTCTAAAATTTACATATTAATTCGTTTTGCTATATGTCATAGGATTTTTAAGATATTTTTTGTATAATATATATTTATGTTTACTCACTTTCTTAATTTCTGTTGTAATCCAAGGTTCAACATTTGCACGTTTCTTCCTTTTCATCTCTACCTTTTGGAAACATTCGTTATACAATTTGACATATATTTCAAGAAATTGTTCATACTTCTGATTAACATCATCAAGACGATCTAAAAAATTCCCACTTCACAGACTGTAATTTTAAACAAAATGTATTAATGTGAACATCACTGAAGTCTCGTTTTGAGTATACTATTTGAGGATCATTTGTATGATGATAATATTACTGGTAACTATTTCAACTACTATTTTATATGATTATAATAATAAGATATGGAGATACATGGTAAACTTTTAAATATATGATTCTCAATTTTGTTTCGTAAACTTTACCAAATTAATTCTGAGAAACTGATTTAACTGACCCTCTCTAGTCAATTCCAATACTTAAACTAAAATATATAAAGCGGAATTTCACATAAAAAGTATGACAAAAAGTGACTGTTTACTTTTTCATGTAGTTTTCATATTTAGATTAATTTTCATCATTGTGGGAATTATGAGGAATATTAATCCACGATATTTGGGCATCAAGATCAATTAAGGAACCAAAATAACAAAGATCAAAATATTTATGAAAAAAACGAAAACAAGCACCATGCGACTATTTTTTAAAATGAATGGTGTATTTTTACTGAACTAATTTATATTGAACTATTTAAAGCAGTTCATGCACAATTCCAATCAACATTTCTTTTACTACCCCCCCCCCTCTCAAATACACAAACAGAACAATAAAATGCTATCTTCACCTTGAGCTTCGTAGCGTGAATTTCAAACTCTATTATGCAGCATGCGTCACTTTCTTTTTAAGGATCATAAGACATTTTTTTTTTTTACCTTGTACTTTTGTTTAACTCTTATTAAATACTACTAACATGACCGTAAACAATTTTAATGCACAAGCCAAGGGCAAAGGCAATACCCTTTAAAATTCGTGTCCTGGTTAAGTATCATATTGTGATGTTTGTACATTTTTTTAAAGTGACATACAAGACTATTGAAATTGATCTTAGGTTGTTTTTTAAGAAGTTCCGATCGAGTTTACAGCCAAAGTTGAAAAAAATGATGTTTTATTCTCAATCATTGAATTTTGTACATTACAATTTTAGCTAAGAATAATTAGGATTAAGATAAGAAAGTAGAATAAAAGAGTAAAGGCGCCTATATGTGATCGTCTAAACAGAATGCAAATTGTTTTCCACCCAATTTCTATGCAGTTAGCATGATGGCAAAGACTATCGAAAGTTAAATGGAATGGTAACTTATGGCCTATTGTATATTCCGTAGCAATCATTTCGGATTACGTAATCTATCGTTTTTTATGTGCATACATTCCATTAGGTGATGACGTTAGGTTGTTGTTTTTTCGAACGTATTTGCGATCGTGCGATATTTTATTGTTGATGGCTTACCAGCAACAGCTGATAAATTTAAGTAGCTTATACTCTAAATAAGACTGCGTGTTCATTAATGCATGTTGACCTTTTGAATCTGCATTATGTGTTTTTAGATTCGTTGGTTTCCTTCTGCCTATACTTTTGATCACCGAACATAATTGACAAGTGTTTAATTTTAAAACATTGTGTATACCCTAGGTTATGGGCTGTGGAATTGAGAATTTGGTGTCAGGTAATAATGATATAATATTACTGTGACGACGGTAATTTAATTATGGGGTAACAAGTATCTTGGTTCACATAGCATCAATTTCTTCTTAAATATCACCCTAATTCGTGCAAAAACAACAAAGGGAAATATGCAATAAGGACAGCTCGATTGTTTTTAAGAACATATTACACCACATACTACACATTAATGAAGCCATAAACTCTCTGTTTTTAAAAACTGGACAATACTGAGGGAGTGCGCGCTGGGTTGGATTCAATAGTCATATCTTAAATTCGATTCAACCATATCTTTCAAACTTAATGTAGTATGGTTTGATGTTTGAACTTAACTAGTTGATGGTAGATAACTAAACAGAATCGAATATAATTTGCTGAGGAGATGAGGATATAATTATTTGAATATCATGCACTATTATGCTTTATCTAATACACGGTCGGGTTTGTGGAGCTAAACATGAATACAAAGTGATGACTATATATTTAAAAAAGATAACAATAATAACTACGTTAGCAAGCTTTCTTTATCAAAATTTAAGTGCTACGTAATTTATGTGCTCCCGTCCACAGTCACCGGGTCTGTCACTTTGATCCGCCAATAGAGACCGAGCAAATAAGGACCTTTAGATTTGCACGTCGACATAGTGGACTGATACGTGTCATGTCCTTTTAAGGCACTGGCAGTGCCTTAAAAGGACATCACCGTGCCTTAAAAGGACATGACACGTAGCAGTCCGCTATGTCGACGTGCAAATCTAAAGGTCCTTATTTGCTCGGGTTTTTTTTTTTTTTTTGCTCCAGTGAAATATGCTATGGTCTTAAGAGAATTGGATTATGAGTGGGTTTAGGTTTAGGTTAAAGAATACGGTTAGGATTATAACTTAGGATTCTGTATATAGTGTTCAGTCCAAGGTTGAAGATTAATAGGGAATTCCAGGACCATACTAGGCCTCCTACAGGAATCTGTCGTCTCGGAGCATTTGTTGTAATCACTTTCAAGCAGATTAGCGGTTTTAAACTCACAACTCCCTGGTCATAGCTACCTAAAAATATCTTAACACGGTCGCAAAGACTTTCGAGAAATCAACTCAAGGGTTATTTCATTACCCTATTGTACGTTCCATAGAAATCATGTTCAGATTATGTATTATGACATTGTACATTCCAAAAAGGTTGCGTACAAGGCAAAAGTTTTATTTCTCGAGTTGTTTTGATTGTATTTCATGTGAATGTCGGGAGGCAAGTCCGTATGGACAGTACGTATAGTGCATGTATAAACATGGACAAGTCTACATGAAAAAGTAAAAGTTATTGGTAAATTAAACTTACCCAGTAATGAACTTCAAAGCGTTAGACTTGTAGCGCAGCTGCATCGAATTGATCATACTGTCCAATATACACGTAATGGTCTCACCCTGATCTACATGTAGACCTATTATGTAAGTCGTAAATATCTTTCGAAGAAATAACAGAATTGATATACTATAGACTACCAGTGAAAGTTCCGACCAAGGTTATTTAACATTTACAATAAAAATAGATCAAGGTTCTGACATCTATGGCAAGCATTAAGGGAAACAAATAAATATATGCAACACTTTAAAAAAATGTATTTCACTCAAATGTATATATTCAACACTTTCAGAAAATATTTAACAAGTTTTATTTGACAACACATTTTATTTGGCATATCTGATTTGACAATCTATTCGACAAAAAATGTATTTGTCAACAATTGTATTCGACATCAATTTTATATTCGGCATAGGCCTACATTTAATTCGACAAAAATTTTATTTTACAAAATTTCTTTTTTTTTAAATGTTATTCGACAAAATATTTATTCAACATAATTATTTCTTACTTTTAATTGAAGAAAAAAAGGTACAATTCATAATTATTTTTTTAAACCTTCAAATCAAGTAGGTAATACATATTTCCCCTTAACCCCCCCCCCTATACAAATCGGGGTCGTTATTCATAGGGCTTCCTATTCATAATACATGAATAGGGTCGCTAATTATAATGCGAAAAGATTGAAGATAAATAGCGACCCCGATTTCGAATTATGAATAGCGGTCCTTCACGTATAGGAAGTTCCACTTTCATTATGAATAGTGGTCCACATGACTAGCGAGGTTGTTTGAGGGTGTTGAGAAGAGGTTGGACATAATCATGTAGAATGTATGGTTGGGGCGTGGTGTGGGTGGGGGGGGGGGGGTCAAGAGGATATAAATGAGTGTAAATTACCTACTTTGTTTTAAAGGGATCCGGTAACTTTGTCTTAGATCCTTTAAAAATAATCCTTGATTTAGCTCATGCTGCGATGATAATTATAAACCTTTAGGTCAGTCAGGAACAAACACTGCAGTTTATTGGGGAAAATGAGTATGGTAAAACCGGTCACTCAAAGACTTTTACTTTTTTGAGGCACTTCTTGATCATTTTGAATCGCGATTTTTTTTTAGGGCTTCAATATTACACCATATCACAGACACTGGTAACATGTAGGACCTTGTATCTCAGATTTAACATTGTTAAACGATCCCTTTAAAGGGATCCGGTAACTTTGTCTCAGATTCTGAAACAAAATCCTGGATTTAGCTCATGCTGCAATGATAATTATAAACCTTTAGGTCAGCCAGGAACTCCATGACTTTTACAAGCCAATTATGAAGATATTTATGATTGGAATAACAAATTTTGAAAACCGTTTGCCAAACGGTTTTCATAACACTACAGTTTATTGGGGAAAACGAGTATGGTAAAACCGGTCACTCAAAGACTTTTACTTTTTTGAGGCACTTCTTGATCATTTTAAAGCGCGATTTTTTTTAGGGCTTCAATATTACACCATATCACAGTCACTGATAACACGTAGGGCCGTGCATCTCAGATTTAACATTGTTAAACGATCCCTTTAATGGGTTAGTTATGAACATTGGGTAGGGTTGTTTGAGGGTGATGAGAAGAGGGAGGGAATAGTCATCGGCGTGCCGCATAAAAAAATAACGCATGCGGGTAACCTCGTCTTCGTTCTTATTCGAGCTTATTCTTCTCCCGCGGCCCTCTTCGTCAAAAGTAGCCATTTTTTAAAAACTCTCTTCGTATCATTCTTCAAACGTTTTACCACCAGTGAGGGAGCCTTCGGAAAGACCACTAAACCAGAGGCGGCCCTCCCGGGGGGGGGGGGGGGCAGGGGGGCATAGTGCCCCCCACACTTTTTCAGATACCCCAAAAGTGCCCCTTTTTACATAGGAAAAGTGCCCCTTTTATTTTGTAAAAAGTGCCCCTTTTACATAGGAAAAGTACCCCTTTTACTTTGACAAGTGCCCCTATTACTTAGTAAAAGTGCCCCTTCCCCTCTTTTTACCTCTGACGAGTGCCCTTTTTATTTTTGACACATGCCCCTTTTCCTTCGACATGTTCCCATTTTCCTTTGCAATAAGTGTCCATTTTCCATTCTCATCAATCTTGAAATTATCTTGAATAAGTGCCCTTTTTAATCTCTAGTAAGTACCTCTTTTCAGGTACGAGAAGTGCCCCTTTTCACTTTTTATAAGTGCCCCCTTCATCTCTGATAATTACCCTATTTAAAACTGATAGGTGCTCCTTTTACTTTGACAACTGCCCCTTTTTTCCTTTGTAAGAAGTGCCCCTTCTTTTAATAACTACCCCTTTAACTCGGATGAGCACACCTTTCATTTTAACATGTGCCCCTTTTATTTTCTAATAAGTGCCCCTTTTCCGTATGATAAGTGCCCCCATTAAAAAGAGAGAGAGAGCTCCTTCTTCTTCTCATAACTACCCCTTTCCCTTTCTAATAAGTGCCCCTTTTCCTTATGATAAGTGCCCCCAATAAAAAGAAATAGCTCCTTCCCCTTCTCATAACTGCCCCTTTTAAAAATCTGAACGGTGCCCCCTTTTCATTCAACAAATGCATATTTTCCTTTATTATAAGTGACCCTTTTACATTTTCATAAGTGACCCTTTTCGTATCTGGTCAGTGCCCCTTTTCACCTCTGATAATTCCCCTTTTAATAATGATACGTGCCCCTTTTCCTTTCTTATAAGAGACCTATCCCCTTTTCACCTCTTATAAATGCCCCTATCAAAATCTGATGGGTGCCCCTTTTTCATCAACAAATGCCTATTTCCCATTTTCGTAAACGCCTCTTTTTCACCACTGGTGAGTGCCTCTTTTCAGGTAAAAAAATGCCTCAATTTTCACCTCTTATAATTATCCTTTGTACTTTGACACGTGCTCCTTTTCTTTTCTGATAAGTGTCTTATCCCATTCGATAATTGTCCCTTTTTCATGTAATCATTAAACGTGCCCCTTATTTAAAGCAACTAAGAGCAATTTCCCCCAAAGTTCGCTCGCTGCGCTCGCTCGCATTTAAAGAGGATATAATTATGTTATTTATCAAAGGTCTTTTCAGTCTTCCGTTATGAGAATGTGCTTATCATCACGATTGGCTTTTTTCTTCTTTATAAGATGTAATTTTTCGCACTGCGACCTAACAGATCTTTATTTTTTTTCTCACTCAATTCACTCGCTCGTAAATGCATATTCAGACATCACACACAACTGTAAAGTATGATGCTTAAGCAAAATCTTGTATGATGTATGAAGAGAAACAAATATTGAAATCATCCCTGATAATTTAATCACAATGTAGAGGTATATATATATATTTTCGCTTTGAGATTTCCCACTGTAGGTGCCCTTTTTTTCTTCAGAAAGTGCCCTTTTTTGTTGGTGCCCCCCCCCACTTTGGAAGTCGCTCGGCCGCCCCTGCACTAAACGGAACTGGTCGTCTAGGTCGTATTGGAGCTTCCACTACTGGCACTGGAACCTGCTGAGGTCATTTTCTTGCTCCACAACTTCCTGACCCTGGCATTAACGCCGAACGAGAGAAATACCGAGATGCCTTGGAGACCATTGACCGTTATGAACAGGTACCAGAGGGCGGACGTTGTGCCCAGGGCGGCTACCAAGCCGAACAACCAGCTGAATCCCATCAAACAAGATATCTATAAGAAGGAGGAGAAGAAGAAGAAGAAGAAGAAGAAGAAAAAGGAGAATATGACGTCATTTAAAAAAACATTAGTCTACAAAGTCAAGAACCAAATAAAGTCTACTTTTTCGGAATCATATAAGGGATAATTTCATCTGAGTTTAATCCATTCTGGGATCCACTCAATATAAGTGATTGAATTATCGTTTTGAGAGTGGATCCCACCATTTTGAGCGATTATTTCTATTCCAAAGAAAGTGTTCCCTAATCATGACCCTCCTCCGCAAAAAACGGGGGGGGGGGGAGGAAAGAAGAAAAATGAGAGGTGTATTTCCACCCGTGCACATTTTAAAACTCAAGTTGAGACTGGAACCTTTCTGCTGACAGAAGGACACACTAAAAGTTTGGTCTCACGGGCCTCTCAGGCAAGTATGTATTTGGATGTTCTGTTCTCGAGACCAAAGTTAGTCTAGTAGAAACTAATCATTGGAAGAATAATTGTACACCTATGAATGGATGAATTGGTTCGATGATGCACTTTCAATATTTTTCATTCACTTCTTATTAATTTATAAATTAACAGGGTGGACTCGGATTTAAAAAAAATTGTGAGTGGGTCTAAGTGTGGCCAGCCAGGGAAACATGTGGATCATGCGAATTTTGGGTGGATTTTCAAGGGAGCAGTAATGATGTGAAGCATGTTCAATGGGTCTGACACCCAGTGATATGTTTGACTATGTACATGTAACTTAGATGGTCACACAAATCCATCAGCCCTTATGAATAGAGTTATGAATAAATACCAAATCTCCTATCATAAAGTATGGCCTAGGCTTGCAGGTGATGCAGTTTCGATTGTAAATGATTTATTACCTTGAAGTAGATGAGTAGCTCTGATATTACATGCTTGTGTGATCTGTTCTTTTGAAGAGCGCCTCGGGTCATTTTCGTCGTCCTGCAAATATTGACAACAGTGATGATAAAGAGAATGACATTGGCAACCAACGACAACACAACTGGACCAATAAAGAATACGATGTTTGCAAGAACTGGATACACCCAGCAGTTTCTTCCCGATCCGTACTCGAGCGGGAGCACATCATTCTCAGTGAAATGCAATCCGAGAGCGACGATTACGAGAAGGAGAGGAACGCCCCATCCGACAAGCGAGTGACGAGCGTAGCGTTTGAGACGACTGGCTGGATCACGATGTGAGCGGGTTTGAGTTACGCGGAAGCTTCGGCAAAGGTCAAAGGCAAGAAGAGTCATCCACGCAAAGGCACACAGAAGAGAGAAGTGTGCAAGAACTGCCACACCCTGACACAGAGCTATTGTGCGACGTGCGTAAGGAGCGACATACTGCAGACAAATTTGGGATATCAGCAAGGATAACGCAAAGCTCAGTATGGCACATCCCTGGAAGTTGCGAAGTTCAGGAAACATCAAATAGGTCACGATCAATAATATGAGACACAATGTCGATATAGCAAACAGTACATGGCTATAGATTAGTTGAACATTAACAGTTTTTGTCGTGGGACCTTCTTCTACTTTTCCTTCTTGTTCTAGTACAGTGGAAAAGTTGTTATGGGTGACGCAGATTCTGATAGAGTTGTTGGACACGTAATCAAACAATTCATCTTCGTATT